GATCAACCCGGAATATTGAAGTATAAATTGAACACCATAATCTAAAGTGGAATCTTGACCAGCCCTCCTCACGTTTGCTCCTCAAACCCGCATGTCCTCTAAAAGATGTCGGATCCTGCCGAGACCAAACAGGGGCCCTCTGCACCCCAGCAATGTGTTTACATTCTAATCTGGGTGATGGACCTGCTTGATAAGACTCTTTGCACTTCTGTAGCAGCAGGGGGGGGGAAAGGGAGAGCTCAGGAAAACGTTTGAAACCAAGACTCTTACTGGTTCTGTCATTTCTGGCTTTCTGACACTGCACCTGTTCATAAACACCAACAGATCCAGGTTATTTAGCTTGTGGAAAAAAATCTAAGGTTACAACCAATTGAACATGTTAACAGAGAAGGCCAAGGACACGTTAGATCAAGCTTGAATGTGGCTAATTATATTTATGATGGAAATATTTAAATCCCTTTTCCGCTGCAGACAAATATGAACGTCCACAGGATATTGTAATTGTGTTCAATAGCTAATGCAGACAACAAAACCTAGTCTGTACAGTGTACACTACGAAGGAATATTTGTTGTTAATGTTTTGGCTTCAAAGTGGTTTGGATGTGATAACAGCACACAGAAATGAGTAGAAAATGACACGATGGTGGATTCATTGATTTTACTATTCGACTGCGTCTTCTTTGACAACGTGTTCCTCTCTAGTGGTTTGTCTAGCACAGAGGATCATATCGCACGATGCCAACTTTGTTTGTCTTTTCAAAGCAACTTTTGTCCCCCATTCATGCCAGGACGCATCAAGCGTCTAGTTTGCTCTGAGACGTCCGTCTTGTTTGCATTGGGATCACAGTATCTAGACCGCATGCGGGGGGGGGGGGGGCTCCCACTGATTTCAGATCGCAGTGAGGGGCAGAAATCCAGACCATTTATCAAACACGGGTCTCACATCTTTCCCCCACAGAAGTCCTGTGTCCTTCTTCTGAGCTAATTGCTCAAACATTGTAGCTCCTCTTTTGTCTTGTACCGACGATAGGAGACCCTTGAGACGATGTCTCATCAACCGCTTGCTATAGTGGCTTGTTTGAGCCGGGCTGGGTGACCGCGGCGGGTACTTTCTGTCACCCTTGTGATGGCTGCACCTGTTTACAAAGGAGGCTGGAAGACTGTGGGCCTAGTTAGAATGCATGAGAAACATGTTAGGGAGAATATCTCTGCGCAGGTAGGTGCTTCTCCTTCTGAGCACTCTTGTGATTGTTTTTGTCTTCTATATTAGATGGAAAATTATAACAATACCACTTGTCCCCAGTGCCATTTCCCCATGTTTCAGGATTTTCCGTATCTCTTCAAAGAAAACTCTCCTTGATATTGACAAAAATTTACTTTGAAGTATGGATAAAAAATATTTTCGTTTTCCCAGCAAGATTTGACTATTCAATAACTGCTGATACAAACATTGTTTCTTCTTTGCCGTTATGTTCCCCTGTGATTGGGGAAGGGAGGATGCGTCTGAATCCGATCAAAAATGGCGTTTAAATAGTCTTGATGCTGTGTCAGCTGTCACCCCCTCAGTGGTAATTCATGCATCATTATTCGCATTCTCCTGCATGCTTGGCCCGATGCAGAGAAGGATACGCTTTGACTAATTGCTAAAACATTGTATCTCCTCCCAAGCCTTGTGTGAGTGATGGCGGAGGAGGGCTGAGCTAATCATTTGAGCCGGGCTAGATGACAGGAGCAGGTAGTTTCTGTCACGCAGTGATTGCTGCGTCTGTTTAGAAAGTGGCTGCTGATCAAAACTCCCTGCAGGTGACGTAGGACTCGACTTCTGTGAATTACACGGTGCGTGATTGTTTTTATCTGGCAAGTTCGAGCTGGGATAAAACTTTGGGTCTTTTATTCAGTTACATTTTAGTTTCAGCTTTTTTCAGATACAATTGTTCTTGTTGTTTTTATTTTGATGCAACCAATAAAAACCTTTAACGTTTGATTTGCCAAAAGTGTGTGTGTGTGTAAATCTGTAACCAAGTAAAATTTAAAATGGGCAGAATTTGCTATCTTCCTATGTTATTTTCGGTCCATTGCCTAAAGGCCTTCTTTAGGCAATGGATTATGAAAAGGTTATGATGCAAATTGAAATGTAAAATTTGTTTGTCTGAATATTTAGATGTATAAATTCAATGTACGTACAATGCAATTTACTAGAAATATGCTCTAGCCATATTCGTTTTAACATCGTATGCTGGCCACTTAAGGGAAAGGGAGACTATCCTTCAATCAAATGGCCCGGTGGCCCGATGTCCTGCGTCGATAAATACCTTCCCTGCCATGGCGACTAATACCAGGACATTGATAACTGTGACAGACGGACATCACAGCTGCATTGAATTCATTTTGTACCTGAAGGCTGCCAGGGCTACCTGCAGAGGATACACACAGTCCCTCGCCAGCAAGATTGCCTTCTCGGCATCGCTTGAATTCCTCGTGGACGTCTAAGATCAGGTCTCGCCAACAGGGTGCCCACCAGAGCCCGGCGGCCCCCAGGGGGGCCAGTGAGTCGCCCGCAGCCACGTTGTTTAAAACCGCATGAGTCACCGGTAGAGTTGTTCAAAGCTTTTTATATCCTGGCAAGATGGAAACGTGTGCTACGGACTCTTCCACCGTGTGACTCGGGTCCACAGCCTGTAAGGCACAGCGCAGGGCCACGGGTCAGATAAACTATAGAGGTGAATGAAGTAACTTCACTGGTACCTTCATTAGCATTACCCCTCTTTTATTTATAACCTAGAGTTTCCGATTTCTTTTTTCATGTTCATGTGTCAAACACTGATACTTTTTATGCAGACTTTGAACTGAAGAGCAGACTACCGGACATCTAAAGTGAGGTTTGAAGTGAGAGATAAATTATTTAAGGGGTTTGGTTTCATCGGTTTAACATAAAACCACTTGTATCTTTTAATTTAGGTATTCATTTCCTTCTCCTTCCTACCTATTCTGAAGATTTAAAGGAAATTCAAGAGACTAAGTAACACTTATGTCTATATAGGTGTCTATGCTATACACTGTTAAGTGAATTATATTGTAGGAAGATCCATATTTGTTTTAATATTTAATAATTTAAATCGACTTTAAAAGTACATTTTTAGGCATGATTAAATCTTGAATTGGTTTCATTAGGCCTATTTGGAACAGTATTCTCTACATGTTCTTTCCAATCTTTTCTTTCTTTTTTTTTACCTCTACTCTGTGATATATACTTTTATGATTTCCATCTGAAATTTAGTCTATTAAATGCAACCCTAGGCCAGCACTTTAAAGAGCTCAGTATCACTATTTTCCATGAAAACACATAAAAAAATGAAAGTGAAAACAAAGGGAGAGGTGGATTAGCATGTATTTTGCTCAGCTGCTGCCACCCACTCAGTCATGTGAAAGTGATGGGTTTGATGTTTGGTGACCTTTCAAGTCTTGTGTGAGGAGAAAATGCAGTCAATCTCTCTCTCTCTCACTCACGCACACACACTTCAAAATCAATGAAAGCGTTTACTGTATTCACAAGCCGCTTCCCTTGCAGCTCTGCAACATGCTTTCCTTCGAATATTGAGACATGTTGCACATACTCTCAAGGCCAAATAGACAACAAAGTGTACTGTGATTGTTTAACGAGTATTAACATTTGGCAAAGCCCTGTAAATTCAAGGTCTTTTCTATATAAGATTTTGAGCAAAACATTTAGGGATTAAAATAGCCATTATACATGATTTTGTATTAATAAGGGATCACATCACTACTTCGATGTGAAAGTGTTCTGTGTAATTATCACTAAACCCTGCAGTTCCCCTTCTGTCTGTGAGGCTTCAGTTTCTTTCAGCTTATTGTTTTGAATATCAATCAAACTCTCAGTATGTGTTCTCCTTAACTGGCGATTGGATTCTAATTTACCGACTTAGACACCTGCTATCAGCGAAGCTCCAAATAGTTGCCAAACGCAGTGAATATTAGACCACCAAAGTAAAAAAAATGTTAATTCACATATTTTAGATTTTCCAATTTTATTATATAAGATAGATATTTAAGTGTTCCAGCCCTCCAAATGCAAAGTAAAGGAATCCTTTTAGTTTTAAAGCATTGTTGTGCACGGTTGGGTCATTCCACATGTCCTTTTTTAATGCTTTTTCTGCCCACTCCAAATTGCAATTGCGTTAGGATGCATTAAAAAGCCTCTATTCTGAAGCCTCTTTTGGAGCATGCACCCATGTGAGTTATTCATCCAAAAGCAGAACAGAATCATTTCAATGACATTCCTGCTGTGTTTCTGCATTCAGCTCTCCCCACAACTGGGATCAAGTCAGTAACAGGCAGCATGAGAGCCAGAATAATGAAACTACGAGATGTACTTGTCGGTAAAATGAAAGGTCTCTTTCGCTCCCCACCCTCCCCCGTGTTCGTATTCAAAGCGGTGTGAGCAGGAACGTGGGGGATTTTTTTTTTTTTTCTGTTATTCCGCATGTGGATATAAGGGTCTGACTGTGGGGCAAATGAAACACTCATCATTCTAGATTTATGGACCAGAGATGGCATCGGCACAGCGCGGCGACGGCTCACTGCCAATGTGGCGCTGAGACGATCAGACGGGTGATGACGATGCATCAGACTGAAATGTGCTTTGAGTTAATGGGGTGCCTCCTGGTCTCACAGCAGCAGAAAGTTCTGCACAGACGAGGACGACACATTTTGGCTCGAGGCTCGCTTTTGATTAAGTTGAAAGATTGTTTTTGGAAGATAATCGTTTACTTTCTGACACAGAAAAGCTATAATGAAAAATGTTTGGGGCCATTTTATTATTTTTACTTATGTTCATTGACTGTAACCACTTCAGCATCAAAACATATTTCTATAATTATAACAAAATTCCATTAATATTTAAACGTTCTTCTGTGGCAGTTTTTTTTTTTCTTCCTTTAACTGGAAAAACCTGTTGCTTTCTACTTGTTTCTCTTTTGCAGGGAATGTGTCGAACATCCGTGTGGTCCGGAAGCGGCAACAGCTGAACAACTTGGTTGCCATGGTTACGGAGCTGGCCAGGCCAGGGCACACCGTTGTGGATTTCTGCAGTGGAACGGTAGCCGTATTCATCCTTCGGTCAAGCTCCTGCGTTCGTTTCTCACTGCAGCCGACGGCTAAATTAGGCTGAAGGAACTTTTCGCATTCCCTCCTGCTTTTCCCACCTCCTTTTAAATGACTTTTGGCGTTGGCGGGTGTACACAAGCAGAATGGTAATTACATTTAAATGAAAATGCTCAGGGCCGCGGCGCTGCATGACAAAAGGGTCATTTCTCAGTGGGAAAGGGTAGCACTAATCATAACTCCACCGACGCTCCGTTGATGTATGCGGTTTTTCCTTAAATGTATTATCTCTTTCTTTTTGCCGAATTGCAGGGCCATTTAGGGATTGCTTTGGCTCACACACTTCCGGATTGCCAGGTAACGTACAGATGTGTGTGTCCACGGCACAGAAAATAGTTTCTCCAAAGACGTGAACATTTTGTAGATAACTTTTTGACATTTTAAAACCTTTTAAAAGAGATCTGTAGATAAACCACCTGCTCATAATGATAGTGATGAATATCTATCATTAAATGCATCTCTACAATCATCAGTTATTATAATTTAATTATGTTACATTTCATGCTATTATTTTTCTTTTTTACTACTAAGCTCCTGCTATGATGTCATCTGTCTGTCACTCTAATGGGGCCCACATTTAAACTGTATTATAACTCATTCCAGGTCCTTTTACTAAATTGCAATTGCATCTGGGTTTTTTTTGCTTATTTTACTGAAGGTCATCCTCATAGAGAACAAAGAGGAGTCATTGCTCCGGGCTCAGAATCGTAGCGCTGAGCTTGGCCTTAAAAACATCGGCTTCGTTCAGGCTAATTTGGACTACTTCACCGGACCGTTTCACATTGGGGTGAGTGTGGCGTGTCCCACGTGTGCATCAGTTGTGTCTCCATTCGCATGAGGAACCACAGATTCTTTAGACAATGTGATGATTTCAAATGGCCGAGCAATTTTAAGATTACACTATTTTGTGAAAAATGGAAACTACAAGTCATTAAAATTCAATCAAACTTGAAGTAAAAACATGAAGTTGCAAAATGTAATTTGCTGCACTATATTTTATGCTTATTTAATTTGGATGAAATAGCAGCCACAATAGCAAAGATTTTTTTTTTTTTTTTGCTACTACGCATTGAACAGAGAAGTACACACCTACTTCATTTACACTACATAAAGTGTTGTGTTGTTCGTGCTCTGTCACAATTCATTGAACTGCGAGATGCCTATTTTTAGTATCAATATATTTTCATATTTCGGAGAAGCTCACACACACATCACAGGGAGAGACATGTCACCCCCATCATCTTTTTCCAGAAAGTGAAAATGCCATCGTGCTATTATTTTTTTTTTATCAGCGCATTTCATTTGTGGAGCCCTAATCAGAATCCTTTTAGTGCTGTGCAGCTCAGCCAAGCGGTGTATGTCACCATGTCCTCCCTGATTACCAGACAGCCAAAAGGTCATTTTACCCGCAAAACGAAGGGCAAAGCTAATGTCAGTTACGGGATCTCTTCCAGATCGCTATTGTTTGCTTTGGAAACTATTTTCACAAGGTCTTAAACAACAGTTGAGCTCTTATGACTTGAGAAGTCCTCTCTTGTGGAAAGTGTTAATTACTGGGCAATGTCGCCTTTTTTACTTCATAATTCATTACACTTACACCAATACATCTGATGCTGTAAGTGATTTTTAAGATCCACCTCAGTAAATGTGTATTCATTCTGCACGGCTTACCTGTTTAATGGGGCTGAAACAACCTAAAATCAACATTGGGCAGCACTCTCCCGCTTTAACCCCTTGGAAACCCTCGCTTGTCCTCTTTAAACATCTTCACCTGCAGAGCTCTTGACCTTTCAAGATAATTACTATCAATTTAAAGCAAATGGGTACTTAACTGTGCTTGTTTATTGGGTTTTTGAATCTAGTTGTATCAAGCAAACCATTTCTTTTGGATAGAAAATCACCCTTCATCTTTAAATGGTTTGGTTTCCAAACGGGTGACATCCAAGAGAATCTTTTACCATCATTATTCTTGATTATTTCTGATCTTAGGTCAGTATCTGCCCCCAAACCTCTTCCGGCCTTGTGTCACAGCCCAGTTGTGTCATAGTTGTTCAAGTAGCCTTGTTTTAACTCTCTTTGGGGAAAAAATAGGGATTATACATGAACCTGCTGTAATTAGAAGCTATTGTTCCAGCATCACCACTCCACTGAGACCCGTTCCACTTGGCAACTAACAAACAGCATAGATTATTCTTCTCTAGAATACGTGGGCGGTTTTTGAAGCCTAGTTAGAGAGTTTACACACACACACGCGCGCTGATTTTCAATGAACAATAAAACCATTTTCATCACAGAGGTGCAAGTCCGTACAGTTGTGCAGTGCTACGTGCGGCCCCGGCTGTATCACACAGATATTCTTACCGGAAGGAGCCACCCATCACACCAGGTTTTAATCCTGTTATGTATTATAAATGGTGCCATTTTTAGTCGCGCTCATGTTCATCATGCTAATTAAGTTGTGGTGTCCCTATTCTTAGTCAGGGTCTGCTCCTCCTTCCTCCAGTAGCATAACATCGGTTTTCGACTCGCGGCCTTTGCATGCAGTGTGTACACTGTTTATTCTCTACTCCGATGACTTTGAACACACATGGAAGGCAGGAAAAGTTGATTTAGTTTGTTCTTCATAAAACACGTAGTGTACAACTCACAAAAACATGTTCCAGCTTAACAAAAGTAGGCCTACGTTTCTGATAACAAAAATAATCAAAGACAATTACAAATCTTTCTTGCAATAACAGCCAGAATTAGCGTGTTGTATGAGCGATATTAATTAGTAATTAGTTTTTTTCTGTTTATTTTTTAAAATCTCATAAGATTATGTCTGTTTATCTACAGTCGAATGCAACACAGTCTCAGTCCCTTCTGGGATTAAAACCCAACAAATCAAAGCCGGCGTTCCAGAAACTCCTTTCCTTTTGATATCAAATTCTTATTGATGATGGGCGTGTTTTACTTGATTTCGCTCTGAGTCATATTTTAACGAACCGCACATTTCAGGCCAAGACGAAGCTACTAAAAACAGTTTGGGCACACCTCTGTGTAACGGTAGTGGTGTGATGGGGATCGAGAGGAGTTTTAGTCGGCTATATTGCAGGAGCTCGTTCTGTCTGGTGCGACAGGAGAGGAATGTAATTACTTGAGTAAGAGTGAATAATGAAGCCTCATTATTTCTGTGATGTGATCATTAAGCGGAAGATACAGATCGAAACAGCTTTTCCTCTCCCCAAAAGACTGATTAGTCGAACAACACAGTTTAATGAAAGGCCGTGTGTCCTTTTGGCCTGTTTGGCGTATTGTTTCATGATTTATTCTTCCTAAAGAAATGTTTGTGGAAAAATGTGCTTAACAAGGCGTGTATGAAATACTTAATGTCTATCGGATGGTTTTAAATCAGCGTATTTAATTTCACCTCCCACTATCTATTTTTAATTAGTATCCCACATTACATATTGGGCTGCTACGTGACTTTATTAATAAGGCTTGAACAGTCAAAGGCAAAAGGAAGTTAGACTTTGATAAAGTAAGAATGCTTTCTTAATCGAGAATCGGAAATGCATAATGTATTATAAGAACATATCCGAATGCGTTTTATTTGAGTGGCTTTGTGTTTGAGTTAAATCAAGGCTTGAGGTTATAAAAACTAATTAAGATTTAGCAAAGCACGACTAATGTGCAACATTAAGTAGCTGGGAAAGAGTGATGGTGTTACTTAGTACATCATTCTTTCTTTAGATGTAACATCATGCAATCTGTGACATAGTCTCATCCTCTTAATCAGCCGTCTGAAACATGCTGCTGAAAGAACATAAGTGAGCTTTCTCCCTGATAACACGAATGAATGCAGGATAGATAATTGGTATCAAATAGAAACGACGGCCATGCAGGTGATTGATGTTGATTCTGCAGTGCAGATCTTCATGAAGTAGAACAATGCAGACGGGAAGACTCAATTCCAAGTGTAAACTGACATCTACATTTCTCGTGCGCTTGCGAGCTGAGCGATTGCTGCAGCTGTCCAACTTCCAGGGAGCGCCTAAGCGCCTCTGTGAAACGGGCCCCCACCCGGACATTTCAGTGACTTTAGGAGTGTGTTTGGCCATGTTTGGAGTGTCTGGAGCGGATCCTCTGCGATCCTTTGTAGTTGCTGCCCCTCTTGTCTTCGGTGAGTCCTCTGCAGCAACGCTGTCAAGGCAACGTGCGCTGGATTCAGACTCCCGGACGCCAGGAGACAACTTGTTGGAAGACAAGAATAAGAGGTTCGGGGTCGCTGCTTGAGTTGGACAGGGTTCATCCCAGTGCGCCCAAGGAGCTATTGTCACATCAAACCGATAATGCATTTTATGTGGACCATTAACAGAGAATCTATTTTACTAATGTATTCCTCAGATGAAATCATCTATTTTGCCACTGTACTTGATATTTGATATTCAACTCATTTCCTGTAATAAATCACTTTTTATTTTTGCATTCTGGAGCGCAGACATGCTATGATATTTGGTCTTTTATTTCCACTCAGCCATCCAATATATTACCACCTCACCGCTAATGTAAAGCTAGTTGTTCATTAACACGCATGGTTCACTCCCTCAATTGGAATCCTGATGCGTTTGTGCCTCCACTCCTAAAGCACGATGCATTTTGTTGCTTTAGCTCCCCGAGGTCCACCTCCTGACAGCATTGATGTAATTAAAAGCAGCAGCCATTATGAGCTAATCATTGGGATTGAGTGTATGCTGTGAAATGCTCTCACTTTCTGTCTCGCTGTTGGGCCAGAAATAGTTCTTAAGAAATCTATATCGCTTTCTTTTTTTCTTTTGTCCTTTTTCCCATCAGGTTGCCCTCCATGCATGTGGCGTCGCAACCGACATGGTGATGGAGCATTGCATCCAGGCGCGAGCCGCCTTTGTCATCAGCCCGTGTTGCTACGGCTTCATCCAAAACGCAATCAAGTTCACCTTCCCCAAAAGGTCTGTAGCTGCTCGCCGCTCCTGCGTCTCGGGGCTCTCCGCTCTCTCGAATGCTGTTTCTGACCATGTTGTTTTCTTGTTAGACCCCTGCTACCGCTGCTGTTTCTCTCCCATTCTCTTTTGTGATTTCTTTTTTTTTTTTTTTTCCTCCATTTTCTCTTTTGAGGCTCTCGCTCTCCATCATTTTCACATCCACGCACGCAGACACCAACAGCTTTTTGTTCACACCCTGTCTATAATCAGCACTGACAGTACAAGGCAGCTGTGTGACATCGCCTTCACAGCAAGCCCCCCCCCCCCTTTTCAATCTTCTATCAGCTACGTAATTGAAGGTTTGCTGTGCTGATGCTGTCTGCGATATTAGAGCGTGAGAGAAATTTGGCTGGAATAGCGCTACTCTTCTTCTAAACTACTATATTGTATGCTTCGTTATGCAGAGAATTCACTTGATTTTATGTCCTCATGTTGCCGTTTCAGAAGTGAGGAGAAGAAACGAATGACAGCAGAGTAGAGGAAGTTGAAGGCTATACTTAAATGCTGTTGATCCGGTTGCTATGGCAGCACTCTGACTAATGGCACTTAAATGGCGTCGGAATCATTGCAAGGCAGTATGCTGTTAAAACTGCTTCCGGATACTGAAGCATAAAGTAGGACTGCTGTTTTAGGAAGCAAAAGACAAGTTGAAGTGGAGATAACACTGAGATTGCTGCGCTGATTACAGCTGTGATTTGGGGAGACTGATGGGGGCGACGTGGGCCAAGTCTCCTCCGGTCTGGCTCAACGATTTGACTTTTTTTGATGATGTCGCTAACAGTCACAAAAAAGTTGAATAAACCACAAAATGGTACGTGTCTGAAAACCCCTTGACCTGTGTGGAGCAGTGTTTCAACTGTGTACTGTAACTATTCTTCAGTTGTTTGATCTTCTTAAGGCACCCTGGGGGAGGGGACGCTCAGTGTACGATATAAATATTTAGGAGTTTTCACATACTTGGTTTTTCCTCTCCTCACGTCTGCAAACTTGACACTTCACCCCTTCGAAAAAATGAGAGAATGCTGCGGGGAAAAAAGCCCTTGCGGCTGTAAATGGGCAACGAGAAGCCGTGTGTCTGCAGGGCCAACGCACCTGACTGTGTCAATCTTCCTCCTGCTACTTTTAGTGTTTTCCCCTCAGGTCATGTTCCAGGTACTCATGCGGATATTTTGCAGGTGTCGACATTCCAAGCATTTCACATGTTTTTATGGGCTGTGAAACTTAACTGCCCATTTCATTAAGGGCCTATCAGTTTGAGTCGAGACTCCTCTCCATGTGAACCGAATGGCCCCTAGTCCCTCACCGTGTTGACCTTTAATTAGCTTGCATGGTGATCTGACTACGTTCAACCATGACAAAAAAAACAACTCTGCTCCCATATCGATGCTAAATCCCAAACTCCTCATTTCCCAGAGAGAGAAAGTGGTTCGTTTTAGAGCTGATGCATGCCGTTCATTTTTGATCAAGCCTTAGATTTGGTTATATATATTGCCTGAAACACATGATTTATGTCTAATGTACACACGTATAATTCAATTGTTTTTTCCCCCTGTTTTTACAGCAAAAGGTTCCAAGAGACTCTGACATACAAGGTATTCTTTTAATTATGATTGAATCCCTAGTTTGTCTTCATTCTATCACACATGCACGTCGAGACTTATTTAAATGGGTTATGTCCATTAGTCTTACAACATGATGAAGATAAACCTTTTCTTAGCTAATTTCTTCTTAATTAAGAAGCCACTGTATCAACAGGGGTTATACAGGAAGTGCCACATGCCACAGAGTGCAATGAATCAGTGAGAGGTGAAATTTCGCAATTTCCAACACTCGACAAACATGGGAGCCGGAAGAGATTCGGACGAACGAGTAACAAATGGAGATGTGCCAGATGTTCTATATAATTATTTGGAACTTAATCTCCACGCGTGTTTCAAACACGCCAAATTTGACCGTATGAAGATCTGCCAAAACCGCCTCCTTCTATAATTTGGATGTATCAAAATATACATGAACTTATTTTGCTTGGCAGGAGTAAGAGTTGCTTTTTCTGCACAGTTGTTTATTTATTTTTTCGTTCATTGTTTCATTGACGTGGCTCTCATCACAAAGAGGGAATCTCGCACCCGGCAGCCTCCCGGCCCCTTATCGCTGTGCACACACACCCCACCGGGCTCCGAGAGGGCCCGTCCCATGATGATGCATGGGACCCGTCAGGGCCCCCAGGGAGAATCTGTGCACAAGTTGCTGTCGGACGTAGCCGCGGCAACCTCCAGAGTTGACTTGTCGCGACAGCAGAACACCTTTCACTCCTCCTCCCCTGTGCACTGGAAGAAAGCGATGTTTACAGACAGAGAATTTATTATTTAGAAGACACCATGTGATCATGCTGCTGTTTGTCTGGAAGCCTCGGCCAAGCAACAGAAATATTATCTGCCTTTATATCGGTTTGGAAATATGAAATTAAACATGCAGCGGATCAACAGGACCAACCAAAAACAACATTCTTTTAAAACCAGCAGAAACCTTATCTGTCCATTGAACTCCATAAATCTCCCCTAGCTGCCAATGTGCTTGTGTTTTCAACAAAAAGCAGCTTCTCATTGTTTTTTTTATAGCAGAGTCATATTTGTTCACCCAGTTCTGCAGTAGTTAAATACAATGACGCGCATTGACAGATATTTTTTCCGCTAGGACAAAGGACTAATGGTTGTGTGATATGGGAAAACAGCGCTATAAGCAGCTGCTCCGCGGCGTTCAGCCTCAGCGCCGCGGGGAGACGAATGGAATCGAGTAGAGTTAGAGCAAGTAAAAGCTGACAAACCACTCTCCCAGTTCACTTGTTCCACAAACACATTAACCATGGCAACGTAAAAACAGAAACTGGTCTATTGCCTGGGTTTAAATGAGCCGGTTCAGTTGGCCTTTTGGACATTTTAAAGGGTGGATCTTGTAAAGGGCTTCCCATGCAAATGATGTCGCTTTTCCTCTGTCCAACAACGCTTTAAGAAATCCTAGTGTCCCTGCAAAGCTTCATGGCAGTTCCGATACGCTGATTTGACATTATTTAAATATTTTTCCAATTTCACCTGATCACAATGTCAGTAGGACACTGATATGAATTCCTATCCAAAAAAATGTATTGCAATAATGTATTCAGCAGACCAAAGCAGTGGACTGACTTGACATTTTCAACAGTCCAGCCTCTCCGTTAGTGTGGTTGTGTGCATGTGCATCCATTAAGGTTTGTTTCCTTGAAATGCATCGTGATAAAAACTTTGGTGTCCTGTTCTTTAACTGCAACTCTTTAAATCTTTGCTCAATCTTGTTGGCGAGTCAGCTGTTATCGCAGAGAGGAGGAAGATTCTTAGGTTCTTAGACCTGACGGATATCTGCCAGAACATTATTAAGCCGTGCGATTAATCTGTACTCATTGTCTGTCCTTATTTCAGGAACACATGATCCTTTGTCGCTTCGCGGACCAAACCGCTGTCCAGCTCCCTCCTGAGAAGCGACTCATTGGTAATGTTTACAATCTCGACCTTATGGCTGAACACTCAGCTCCAGTAATATACTACATATAGTATTACAGTCCCTAGACTGTAATCTTAGGGTGATGATGTTGTTGTTTTTAGGATTATCTTTACAGTTCACTGCTGTACTTTTACAAAAGATAAGAGACTTTTAAGCTGTGTAATAAATGCTCATCCATGGTTGTCTTCAGTGTGAGAAAAGAAACACAGTTGCCAGATGTGCACTGCTGTATTCAAAAGGACGTGTTGTGTCAGACTGAAACCTCCAGGCCGGAGCTGGAGCTTCACGGCACGTTGTTTCATTATGCCGAGAACACTCTCTACTCTGATAGTTCTCCAGCTTATCAAAGCTTCTCTCTGAACGCAAGGAGGATCCTCACTGCCGCCACGTGTCTGAGGCCCCTTTTCATGTGCCTGACACCACCTGTCGTATGTGCTCCATATCAGCGCGGCTCCACCTCTCCCAACTAGCGTTTTCTAACCATGTTTGATCCCATTTGTCCGCAGCCTGCCAGGGAGTGTGCTCATCTGAGCAACATGACCGACTAAAGCTCGCAGTTACTGCGTCGGCCTTTTGGCAAACTGTCTAATGCATTTGAAGTCTGTTTAAGGGAAATGCTGTGAGAGAGTGTGATCATCAGTGGTTGTTGTTGTTTATTAATTGGGTAAATAATACACATGCATACTGGAAAACTCAAGAAGGTGAAGCTATAACATTTGGCCATCTTTGAATGTTTCCCTTCAGTTTTATTAACCTGTTACAGAAATCTCAGTCTTTATACCCATGCTTATTACAAAGCTATTATTGCCTTGTTATTACTTTAGCAGTCACAAGTTATCCCGCTATTATCATATCATTTTCAAGGTGTAACATTTATTTATTAACATTTCTTATTTATTCTTGAATATCAGTATTGCATTGCCCACCAATAACCATCATTGGTGTGTTCATGTGAACGTGACCTGCCGGTTGATTTTGGATTGCCTCACATTCTAAAATAAAAGGCTTCCCTGTAGCTATAAACACTAAAAAGAAATCAAGTGTAACAAAAGGGCTCTCTTGGTTTATTTTCCCGTGTGTCTCCCCAGGTAAACAGTGTATGGGCCTGGTGGACTTGGACCGCTCTTGGGTAGCACAGACTCACGGCTACTCTGTGCAGGTGATGACCATGGAGCCTGAAAGCTGCTCGCCAAAGAACAACCTGCTGGTGGGAAAGCTGCCGTGCGGGAGCGGACTGGAGGTCGATGCTGCACAACAAGAGGCCCCGGCGCATAATTAGCGCTCTGAGAAGTTGTGGGGTCAGGATTTTACAAAGTGCACAGCCTCCGCTTGTGTAATCATGGTGCTGAGAATTTTTTATCCACCCTTGATTTTTTTTTTTTTTTTTTATGTTTTAACAAGCCAAGGAAAATAAACGAGATGTTAGCTCATTATTTCTGGTCTAGCTGGCCTCAAAAATCACTTTTTAAGAAGGATGTTAACGGCGATGTGTGTTTTGATGCGATAAATTAATTGCGATCTGAAAATGACTCGTGTACCTTCTTAAATTCACTCAATTGTTGGACGCTTGGAAAATTAAAAGTTTGAGCCACAACAACTGCTATGTTTGTGTGCCTAAACGCGTAATCAAGCTGTTAGCGTAAACAGAAGCAGCAGGAATAACACACCCTCATTGTGAATTAAGCACACCATACTTTCCACATGCCGTTTTGGCAAATAGTCTGGATGCGGCCTTCTGTGCCTGAACTGAATAAGCTCCCTCTGTTGCCAGGTATTAACAGAAGGCAGTAAAAAGTAATCTGCACTTGAAGATCAAATGGGGACCAATCAATATCAGTGTGTGTGCGAGAAGGGAATATAATAGAGAGATTGGATCTAAACTCATCAATCAGGTCATATTTTGCATTTCATTTAGGGTCTACAGAGCAACTGAATATTCCTCCATATAGATAAAATGTCAATATGCTATGCATGCAGTTTTACGTTCAGCGGCAATGTATTTATGTGTAATGATTTTTTTTTTGATGCTTGCAGAAAAGGTCAGCGTGCTTGATTACGAGAATCCCACAATATGCTCCTTGTTTTCAGGCCTACATGCTTTGGGCATGATTCGTGTGCTTCCTCAAGCTTTAAATCTTTCAGGAGAAACGCGTCCTCGGTTTTCAATGAAACATCCGGTGCTGTCTCCTTTCTCGGCGTCTCCCCGACTGCTTTAGAAATGTGTGATTGAAGCCTCAGAGCCGGTTTTCCTGCCGGCGGGATGTATGACCGGTGCAGGATTTTCCAGCGCGCAGCTCATCCAAATTCAGTCAGCAGACTCAATCTATCCTGAGGTGAATTGCCAGGCGCAGCCCGAAGAATTTCAAAAGGAGACGTCTGACTCCCGCTTCATGTTTGTGGCTCCGCACAAGTGCACATTACAGAAATTCATATGTGCACAAAAGAGCAGAGAGCGAGAGACTCTCTTGCTGGTGGCACTACTTAAAGCGCGCGCGATAGATGGAACGCGGAGGTGTGAAGTAGTCGATGTAACTTAAACACCCCGAGCTGCAAGGTGGCTGCACAAGATTCTTTGTTTAGACAAGATGGTTAAGATTTCTGAGCTTATTTGTATGTTATTACACTAATGATCATTCTTATTAGAGTATGCTGAGCCGAATGTCTTTGCTCCATATTTGGGCTTTCTCACAGTTGGTATTTCCATTCTGTGTTGCCAGTTATTATAACAGGGAATGAAATAAAGTAAAAACAGAGACGATGCCCTTTTAATCATCTTAAATCTAATGCTTTTATATTATTTTAACGTGCATTACCAGCAACAATGTGGATTTTTTTCACTTATATATATATATATATATATATATAAATTATATGTATATAAATATATTCTACCTGCAGTCAGCTTTTATATATCCTCCGTTTAGGATTCTCCTGACATTCTCTTTTTGCGTTTAGTACTTTAGTCTGCTACAGCATTGTCTTGTGAGGATGCAACTAATGACTCTCCCCTCATTAAAAGGTGGGTTTACCCGAATCATTAAAATACCATTTTCTTTTTTAATTCACCCCTGACAGTTTCCAGAATAAATTAGACATCATTTTTTGAAGGACATACTGATGTTAAGCGTTCTCATTAAAACTACAAGCAGTACGATTGTGTTTCATTGTACCGGCCTTTGATTATAATTACTTCATAATTTCCTCTGACATTTCCTGGAACTGGTACGAACGATAGTTTAAACACAGTGAAAATCAGTTGATACTTCTTTGAATTATTTCAAATGACTAAGAAGGGTACAAAGAAATAAAACAAATCTGAACTTTCACTTGGCAACAAGCAAGTAATTCAACACGGGATCAAATAGGAGAATCTCTGTCTTTCTATAAAATACCATCAATTCTTAAGTCTCCCCAACAACGAGAGGTTGTTGATCTCGCGGTCACCCAAAGTATTCTACAGCTTCTTGCAGCAGAATGTCAGAACAGCCGTGGACGGACACAGCGGTGAATACACGCGCACATGAGCAATTGAATGATCCTCCTGCAGGGGATGATAACTTTGTCAAAGAGATGTGCATCCCGCCCTCAGGAGAGGATACTGAAGTGTGGATGTTTTGGCTGAAGTGACCCTTTAACGTTTCATGTGATCAGTCTTTGTTCTCCTCAACATGCGTGTGCTAATAGTAATGTGGCGTAACGCTGAGAAGCTCAATTACACATAACTAGTCTTTAGATGTAATACATCAGCATGGAATGTCATTCTTTCAGTCCAGACATGAAAATCATGTGATTAATTGTGTTATTATACTCAACTTGCATTTTCCCCCCAATCACACGCTTCTAGCGATGACAAACCTGCGTGTGCCACCGCGTGGATTTATTTTTCAATCGGTGACGGGGCGTAACAAGGCGACTGTGCCATGTATCAAAAGACGGCCATGACTGTGAACAACAAGCAGTGGGCTAATCATATCAGACCCCCGTCTCATCCATCTCCTGCTCCATTATACGGAAAATGATGGCGTTTAGTTACCCTGTCATCGAGTTCTTCCAGGGGAATTGTTTTATTGACGGAGTCCTCTGAATCAAAGAGTCTGAAAATGAGGCAGACCTTTAATGTGGGGGGGGGGGATTTGGAGGGGTCAATCAATTAATAGACAGGAAGAGGCCTTTAGACAAAGCTCAGTGTCCTGAACTCTGTGCTTCGCCTCTTAGGCCAATAACTGCTGTTTGCATAGCGTCTCATATGACACGGTGCTTACATTTTCAAGATATAAGAATTTATTTATATATATTATATAATATATATCTATATAATGAACGGTCAGCATTCATCTGGATTCTTGATAAATAAAAAAGTGTTTTCATTTACAATAATTACACCTTCAACAAAAGTATTGTTTTTGTTTAGACTACTTTGAAACACTACTCATCTTGTATTTTGTGCCGCTTATCTTGTTGTCCTCTCCAACTCCAACCCCAGTAATTGCCAGCGCATTGTCTTTGCTGTGCGAGCCGCCACATCTCCTACCTGGGTGGTCGACACGCACCTGCGTGCCTCAGCAGGCTGCGCAATTCATTAAGGCATTTGCCAAAAGCACGCGCGGCGTGGCCCCGCATCTGAAAGGCTCTTCTTCCTCCTGGCTGCACAGCTCATGACGTCGCAAGGCAAGTCCCCCCGCCCCCCGCCGCCCCCCACGTGCCGCTGGCTGAAACGGCCCCGATGTTTGGATGTAAAGGACGGGGGTCTGGCTGCAGTGGGTGCTGTTGGCTGGAGAGCCCGCTGAGTGAACCTGTGAGGGGGGGGAGAGAGGGAGAGAGAACTGTGCGCTCTGATCGCGCGCACACACGCACACTCACACCCATCGGGGTCTCTCGACTTTCAGACGGCGGACTGGTTTGCGCTCCCGCGCCTCCTGTACGTCGCGCAGGACCGGTGTGAGGGACGCACAGCAGACATTTGCTCCCCGTGCACCTCGATCGGGCGCGCGTCTCGCAACCCCCCCCTCGTGTTAGTGCGTCCTCCGCGGCTTTCTCCCCCGGTCGTTTTGGATTACGAGAGAAAAAACAAGCAGCGTGGGCGTCTAACTCGAGAAAATCATGGATTTTTGGATAAAGTTGCTGTTGTTGTGCAGCTGCTGCTTTGGCGCAAGTGGGGACTTTGATGGCAGGTAAGGGTCACATGATTCACATGAGAGAGTTTGAGCCTGCATCACAGTTCAATCCATTTATAGTCAGTTTCGGCGAAAAAAAACGCGCCTTTGGTTAAAAATAGCACCGCAAACTGCAGCATATATTTCAATATCTCCTCATTGCAAAGCTCAATTATGAGTGAAAACGTGTTCAGCTAGAATTGTGTGCGTTTAAATCCACCGTGAGTGACCAGCTGATCCGAGGTCTTTGAATCAGTCCAAACTTTTATTATGAAATCGGTACTTATCAAAGCGCGTTAAAACCGGTTGGTTCTTTGCGCTTTGCGGCGCACATTCTGTTAAAGCACAAACGGTGTTTTCACGCGCAACGGCCGCACCGGGCGGCTCATGTTTTGTGCAGATCCTAAAGTGACGTGACAGCACGTTGCCCGGTGCTTCATGTTCAAACACGAATTTGATGGAAGTATGTGCAGACAGGGGCGTGGAGACGTAGACCCTGAAGAATGCACGTGTCCAAGATCCAGATCTGCATCTGAGATAATGAGCGTGATGGAACCACGCATCGGGAAAACAAGTTGTAATTTAGGGTCCAACCCATTACTTTGAAACCAGTTATCCAATTTGTTCGTGTTTTTGTTTTGTCAAGTGCTCTTTTGCGCTTTAAAGAGGTGCGGGTCATATTGGGTGGATTTCTAGGGCTCAGAAGAACAATTGGACTCAAGGACATGAGAACAGGGAGGGAGTTGCATGAAAACAGAGTCTCGCCCTGGAATGCAGCTCTTATTGTGGTGCTGTAGTGGTGGACTTTATTTTTTCTTGCATATCTCCGTCAGACAGGCTGAGCCCCAAAGCACGTTTGCTCTCTCATGTTGCACTTTTTTAATTGGGTGGGAAAAAAGTAAGATTATTGAAAATACTTGTCATACTGCCATTCCACCTTGTTGATAGATTTGGACATGTGTAGGTTTTATAGCCTTTCTTCCTCCTCAGTTCTTTAATTTCATTTTCCTGCTGCTGTGTTCAAAAGTATTTCAAAAGAAGTGATTTGAATATCCAAGGTCTCTGCAGAGAATGTGTGTGTGTGTCTGTGAGAATAAGGAGAGGGCAGAAATAATAACTGCCCATGAAATGTTATTTTTAGTTGTTGGACTTTGTTTTTTTTCTTACTCACGGTGGCTAATTGTGAGACACGTCATGGTCCCGTGGCTTTAACTTTTATTTCAGGCATTGCCTTTGTGTAATGCTCATTTACTTAGCAGCAGCATATTGTACATTATTACCATCTCTGCATGTCAAAATTTGCCCGTTTTCTGGCTATGAACCTGCCGTGCCCTGAGTCTCTGCCTCAATATTAGTTCACTGAAAGAATATCCCTTCAGTCTCAGCACAAGTAAAAAAAGAGCCACTGATTACCTGCTCTCTCTTACTTATTACCTTTTTAGAACACGCTTATCCATCTAGTCCTGAAGGGCCCTTCACACATTGGCAAGATAATTCGGTTCTCCCGTAGCTGCACGTGATTACCTGCAAATGTGTTGCTAAAAACGTTGCACTTTTGTTTGATGCCCCTCCTCGTTACAACCAAGGACTCCACCGATTTCCTGTCGAGTTGCACAGAAGCCTTAATGAAAGCAAATAAATATGGTTGAGGATATTCTTACCCAGTGATGTCATTAAATTGTTGAAGGCAACTCGGCCAAGCAGCACATACCAGACCTCCTTAGTAATAACCCAAAGTAGTGAACTGGTGCCAGGTGATGTTGCCGTTGTAACATCAGACCTACTTTCTGGCTTTCAGGGGTTGAGAATGAGTGCGAAGACACTATCAAAGTCATTTTAAACAAGCAGTTTGAAATGAAAAGTAATAACTTTTTTTATAGATTCAACATCTAGCGAATGTCCGTGAAGAATGTACTGACATCCTCCATCAGGAGTCCGAGAAGAGATTTAAAGCTGGATCTGTTTTCTGAGAGTGAACAATAACAGAAGTCTGACTCCACTGACTTACTGTTCAGTTTTGTTTCTAACGTTCAATTGCTCTTTTCCTCACTAAACTCATAAAACACTTAGTTATCACTCAGCATGCAGCATCTCAGTTTGTGCCTATGATCATTTTTGACGTGGACAATTTCATGAAAGCCTGGTTTAGTGGGGAATATCCTGCAGAAACACCTCAGGAAATACCCCAATGAGGAAGACAGTTTTATCAAAAAGAGTCTGACAATAAAGCGTGTATCGATATTGGGGCAGTATTTATCAAATGGAGTAAAATGTTGCGGGTGGTTTATCCTTCCTCCAACTTGAGTGTGTCCTCTCAGAGGGCTTTACAAGCCCACAGGTCTGCAGAAGAGAACATCTCATTGTCATTGCCACTGGGGATGTTTGAAATGAATTGTCACTGCATCGCGGGTCGATGGAGGTGCTTAGTAGAGAGATGAAAGCTGCAGTTGGAGTCTTGTCTTTTTAACTTTCTGGCCGTTTCCACAAAACTGCCTACACGTACAACATTAAATAAATTGATTTGCAAGGCTGATGTGGCATTGAATCCCACAGTTATGGAATTAACCCACAACTGGACTGCCGATTCATTGCTGTTCACCTGCCAGTAGAATTCCTTTTTTAAAATAAAACATCATATTAGCTCTCGTATGGCAGCACATGCTCCTACAGAGGGGAAATGCACTGATTATATGCATGCAAATATTTATCGGAGCAAGGCAACATAATGTAAAGAAAGTGATTTCATTGCAGTATATATTGTCAGGCGTTTCAAACATTTTTTGTTATCCACAGATGTGAATGAGGGGGACGTCTTTCAGCATGGTGCTCTATTGAAGTGCAAATGCCTGAAAAGAGCTGATTCCTCACTTTAAATCCTTACCTCGGATATTTATCAACAGTCCCCCTGCGAGCTGATGTGTGTGTGTCAATGTGATCGACGTGGCCGTCTGCGTGCCCATCTGGCAAGGGCGCGGCGCCGAGGTGGCTCATTAAAGACCCCGGACACCTTCTGCCTCCACAGACTCCTTCAGCGGAGAGCCGGCAGGTCCCAGCGAGTCGTTCACGCCGAGATGCTACAAGGCGGCAATCCCCATCTATGAGCGTCTGTGAGAGAAATCAATTCAACAGGCACGATTTACACGCTTCAGTGTGGATTCATGGATGGGTGGTTGATGGATGAATGGAATTACACACCGTCGTGGTCCTGATTATCACGCTGCGGCCCACACTGTTCATCTGAGCGAAGGGCTCGCTGCTCTTCACCGTCAGGCGGGAGAAATCGTCCAGATCTGCACGCGTTGGTAAAACAATGGGTGAGGGGGGAGAAGGACGGCGCCCCCACAGTGCAGCTCAACTGCTCGGGTTCTCCTTTAGGAAACGCGTCGGGTGGTGTGCACTTGGGAAGATGTGTCCCTTTGCATGCGTGAAGGGTAATAATTATCTGCTTGAGTTTCTGCAGGGCTCGGTGTAATTTAGGATCATTATTCAGCCCCCGTGGTAATACGTACAGGTATCGTGCCTGAGTCCATTTGATATGCCAGCTTCCTGCACAGTTATATCACCGGGGAGAAGATGTATCTCAAGATATGCTCTTTTTTTATTTTTTTCCGCAGTGTCACCGTGACTCCCATTGTTGATTTCTGACCCGTCATCATTTTCACGCCATAAATCTTCTAAGGAAATGTGTATTCAGCGTTGCTGTGGCGAATTGGTGTCCTGGTCAATTAAATCCTCAGTGGCGACGAGTTCAGAGGGTGTTAGCGTGAACCTCTGCCTGCGGCTGATCTCAGCATTAAGAGAGGACGGAGAGCATGAAACTGGATTACGTGTGTGTATGTAGGAGTATAGAAAAATATTTCATTCAATACTGGAGAACCTGCTTTATCTCATGAGGTTCCGGACCTCCCCAGTCACTTGTCACACACCGTCCACTGGGAGCCACTCAGTCAATATATATTGATATATATGTTGCCCAGCTCTTATTTAACCCACAGAAAATTGTGCACTTTTTAAAATGTGGTGGAGTCTCTCTCATGAGCAGCTGTCTACTGGGTGTTGTCAGGTGCAATGAACCCTTTGTAACGGTGTATAACCACAAAGGAAGATGGAACCATCAGGTCACGTCGACGCAGGTGCATTCACAGCAGTATAAACGGCACCTAGAGGATGTCTTCATATTCTAGGATGATAATTACCACGCTTATGAATACATTAAAGCACATGAAAAACCTCTGGGTAGAATAATCTCCTTTAAATGTCAATGGAGGTGTTTCATTTCCTTTCCTCTTTTTTTCCTTTTCTTTAACTGTTGTTTCCTTTTTTAACTTCCTTTTACTTCTCTGTGGTTCTTTAAAAAAAATATATTTCTCTATCTCTCCCATCCTCTTGAGTTTTTCCCGGCCTGACTGCCTGACTGCCTCGCTGCTTTCCAGGCAGCAGACAAACATTTTCCCTGGATCTGCCATTCTCACTTAGCATCCATCTGTTTTTTTTTTTTTTTTTCCCAATGAGGTGATTGGCAGAGGGGGCAAGCATTACCATTTCCTCATCTTGGCATAGAGAGACTAACAGGCAGGGATAGTGGCAAAGGATGTGCCTCGAATACTTAGCAACAACCTCACTCTCTCATTGAGGCACAAAAGAAAGCATCTATTTCATACTGGAAGTATATCAAGATAATTTCCCCTTCTTTTTAAAACAGAATTAAGCATTCCCACTGTATATTTAATAACCTCATAGTAAGTCATTCATAAATTTGATTTAATTAAAAGGATCTACACACATTGACTTCCATTTGACTAGATTTCAGCTAACATCTCAGAACCAGGCTCTCAGCGTAGGACTTTCAGCAGTGTCCTTAAATGGGCGCTTTCATTCTTTCACCCCTATTCTCTCCATAAATATGTGTTGAGCCTTGGTACAGATAAAGGTAATCCACAGGCACTGTCTGCCAAGAAGCTATTTCTTGCTCTGAGCAGAATAGAACATGGTGTAACAAAAACATCCGGCTGTAATTTCTCATGGAGGAATTGCAGTTCTTTAGGGGGAAAAAAAGCATAACTACCTTTCTATAAGCATTAATGCCTGTATGGTGCCCCTGCAGCAGCAGTTATCCGATCCTCCACTGTCAGGAAATTGTCTGATATATTTCTTTTAACATAAGCTACGGTGACGCACACTATATAAATTCGTTGACGTTACACGTGGAGATAAGAAACCGACTGGATTTTCAAGTCGGATCATATTGGCTTCAAATCTATTTCACAGACCTTACAATGAACACAACAGCGATGTGGTCTCCTCAGATGTGCGTGTCAGTGGTGCACTGATGCACATTGGATGATAAATTCAAATCGGGCCTGGCAGGCTTTCAAAACGCGTCTCCAGCTCGACATCGCAGGAACCAACACCATCTGATGTGCCATCGCTTTTATTTCCGTGACGCAAAGATAATCTGCTCTAGGGAAGCAGGGAAAAGTCCGCTTTCAGCACCCTGAGAAAATGTTGTATTTTTCTTTTTGTATGGATGTTTCTCAAATGGGACTATCTGCTGCTGTTCTTGGATGCTGGTAAACTGAATAACTTTGCATGTTGCACTGTTGACACAGTCAGATTAAATAATGGGATTCAAAGATGTGAAAAAAACCACACACTCGCATTCAAAGGCTTTATGGTCCGTGCACGTGACATCTTCTATCCTGTGGCTCCCAATTCGGGAAAGAAAACTCCCCCAGATAAAAGTACAGGTAAAAATATTGAAATAACTTTTACTTATGAAAAGATTCAAACAAGTCAGTTTTCTCTAAAGCAGAAAAACGAAATGATTGCTTTGAAGCCTCCCTTCAAACAACGTTAAAAAGCCCCCCCGCTTTTCATTTAGACATTTTAATTGGCTGAAAACTAATTATGTCATCTCCTCACAGGTGGCCGCGGCAGATGGCCTCGTCCAACGGCCTGTGCCGATACGGGGCCAGGGTGGACTGCTGCTGGGGATGGACACGCCGCTCCTGGGGTCACTGCCAGCGTGAGTGCCACCACGCCTGCTGCTGTAGGGGGGTGGTGGGGGCGGGGAATAGGGCTAACAAGGTAGCGAGGTTTCAAGCTGGGGGGTCAAAGATGCTATTAGACGTGAAGAAATGCTGCAACGCTATCGCAGTAACTGGGGGGCCTGTGGGAGACACGTTCACGTAGTGAAAAGAGAATCACGTACGGCTAATGGAGCGTCGGGACAATCTTTGAGGACCATTGATTATAATGACTGGTTGAACCGGAGGAAAGGGATGCATTCACACTGCAGGTGGCTTTTAATAAGGGCGAGACTGAATAGCTGCGATTGGGCACATTACAGGGTGGATAGGAGATGGATTATAGATTACTGCCGTGCAAAAAGCAGCTAGAACGCGCTGCCAGATCAAGCAGCATGAACACAAGGTTTACTAATCCTCATTTCATCTTCATAACGCCACTTTAGGGTTCAGAGGATGTGTCCTGTCACAACACCGCCTGTGTCACATAAACTATGAAATATTAACACGTGCTCTTTCCGACCTATTTCCGTCGTGTGAAGGTGCCCTGCTCCCCTGTAATGCCACCCAGGGAGGTGTGGCTGCGAATATACTAGATGGGTGTCACATCTGGTCAGTTGCCTCACAAGTGTCTGCATGGCTCGGTGCACACGCTGTCATGGCCGCTGCTTTGTTGCGGAGGTTTGATCATTCATAAGGAATCACGCATGCAATAGACGGACAGCCCTGGTAAAACAAACAGCACGACACGTGGTTAATGGTGGCATTTAACTACTAATATCATTTTTTTTCCCAATCAAATGCAAATTACAATTTTTTTCACGGAGGAAGGCATATGTGGGTTGTTCTCTATCATCTGCACTGATTCCATGTGAATGCATCATTTTCTACAGCAGGAACTGGGCAACGGGCAACATGTTAGAACTGTTGGAAATAAACTACTTCCCAGGAGCCACTGTGATTAGTAAAGCTGTTTTGTAAACAACAAACACAGCAGCAACCAGCATTTCACTGCTGGGATCACTTGGCAAAGTTTGTATTGTCGGCACACTGTAGATGATCATTTCCCATTTAATCCCAATTTCTGTCTTTGTTGACAATCAATTTTCCATCCCACATTTATAAAGTAAGAAGATCAGTGAGATTAGTGCCTCTTATTCCATCATTGTTTGCCCCAAAGTTTCTCATCTTCCAAACGAACGAGTTTGTGAAACCCAAAGAAGAACCTTACACCACGTTTACAAGTTCTTATATGTTTCATGGTATTTGTTGTTAAGTTCCTGCTATGGAAACTTTGCTTGTTTGTTCTATTATTTAAAGCTTGTTAAAATAATATTTTTAATCCACTCGTTGTGTGTTTGTGTTTTTTGATGCTGACGTCATGTATTGAAGGTCATCATGCCATGCTAAAGTTATAGTTTATTTTGTTTATTGTATTTTGTATGCTTTTTTTGTGGGAAACATGAGACACACACTGCGTTTTGGGGCCAAAGGCCTGTGCTGTTGCTGGTAAAAGATTCTGTATTTTTTTTTCTGCGTTTGGCAGAATTTCTTTTTTCAAATTCCAATTTCATGTAAAAGACGCAGAGTGCCATTATTTTCACTTCACGTTGAAGTGCACAGCAATGTTTATTCTTCTTTTCTGCTGAACACAAACAATATTACTTGGGTTCCTGGCCCCAATGTTTTGTGCTCCGTTTCAGCTCAGCTAGATTAACCTATGACCTTTGCAAGCCAAACGTGCTTTTATTAAACCCTGGCTTTGTTTTTATTAGAAACAAAATATGATAATTTTATTCTAACACAGACACTTGGTGTCAGAAAAACAAGTTATGCTGATGAGGACTGACCCGGACTAACTTGAGAGGGGTTAATTTCACGGTTGGTAAGTAGAGGTTTCGTGTTTTAATTGAACCTCCTACCTAACGTAGTTTATGCTGGAATGATTTAGGGAAAGAAAAACCTGTTAACGTCTCCAGAGTTATTACAAAACAAATCAAGCGCAATCACATGAAAAATAAGTCATGTCTGCATAGAATACTCAACCAGCCAAACGACAGTGTGTGTTTTACATGTTTTCTTTGCTGTTCCGGAGTCCCACATGTTCCACGTCGAGCCAAAATATGAGTTTGAGCTTAACCAGCCCACAGAGCCGCTGCCGTATACTTTCACTCCACTAAGTCATCTCAACAAAAATCAAATGTTGTCCGAGTTAAATCGCTCGGTGAGGGCTCGCCTTAATGTTTCCCAACGCTCCAGCCGGGGCGAGGGACTCAAATCCGTTCACTTGAGACTCCAATGAGCACTCCATCCAGTCCGTAAGGTGCTGATTTAAACCTAACCGGAGGGAGGTGTAATTGTGGGTGTGAGAGGATGCAGTCAGAACATACTTTCGGTCTAGGTGAGTTTTTTTGGGGGGGGTTTGTGGCGATTTGAAGAGATTAGATCAAAGCAAAGCTTTATGATTGTGGCTTTCTCAGCGCACTGAGCTCGGCTATCAGTTTGTGAGAAGAGTGAAAAAGGGCTTAACGTCAAAGAAAGTCTAAATCCTGAGGTGTAAGGGAAACGGTTCAGGGTTCGGGGGGTTAAGTGAGAGGAAACCTGGCGGATGTGGAAAGCGAGGGTGGGGGCTTTAGATTTATAGGAGACTGAACCTCCACTTATAACGTCCTGGCAGGCAGAGCCACACTCCCAGCTACTCGTTCGAGCCAGCTGCCATCGCCGACATTTTACTGCTGCTCTGAGCACTTGAACATTTGCATTTCTGGTGCAACACAGAAGAAGTACCGTATTAGATCTTCTGAAAAGCCAAAATTGCCCCCCCGAAGGGGGTGTCGCTTTGCGAATCGAGAATGAACTGAATGCGACTGATAACGGCATCCCAATCGCAGCCGAGTGCCCCCCCCCGCCTCCCCCCACGCCGCCTCACCGTCCGGCCTGTTCGCCGCCGGCTCGGGCGTCGCCGCGTTGTTGCTCTCTGGGGGGGAAATGGATACGCTTTGAATTTCTTATTGAGCAGCTTCAACCCCAGTGATTTAGTTGAGTGATTCAAACGAACAAAGGCGGCGACAAAAAGGAGAAAAGTGATATCTCAGTTTCGGTAATTCCCTTTGCCGTGATTGTCTGCTCCACTTTGTGATCACCGGGCTGTGAAGGCCAGTCAAAGAAAGTGTGCGTTTCTTTTCTTTTTTTTCAAAGGGGTTTGCTGATAAAAATAAGAATATATGTGTAAATAAAGGGCACATATGGCACACTGCGAGGCCGCGTTGATTTAAGAATCCAATGTCTCTTCGCGGTCAGTTAGCCGCAGCGTTTATTTCCATACCGAAGAAACCCAAGAGTGGGATTTCCATGAACGATTTGTGTGGTGTTTTCATCTTCCGTGCACATGGTGTGAATTTGAATTCACACAGCGCGAAAGAAAGCTGCTTCATTCACTTCCCTTTTAGATGTGAGTGACCAGTGGGAATATGTGTGACTCCAGAACGCCAAACTGTTGTGTGTGTTTGTCTTCTTTTGTTTTCTTTCAGGAACGTTTGCTTGTCTAAAATGACCAGGCTCTGCCCTCTAACATCATTTTTTTTAATTTTGTTTTGCTCTCAAAGACTAAACAATGCCTGCAACCTTTTGTTTGTTTGGCTGTTTGTTTTTCAGCTCTCTTCGCCTTAACTCACAGAGTAGCCGGGATAAGGTGCCAGCCCCAAGGTTAGCTCCACATGTTTTGTTTTTTTAAATAATCCTGTTAGACATTGCTGGCGGCACATCCTCTGAATCCTGGACTCAATCACTTATTCATAGAGTCGAGCCATCGCCCCACTAACCCATCACGCCACGTGTTAGCGGCCATCTTCTTCCCTCCAGCCCTGGAGCTGTGCAAACAGCTCCCTCTCCGAGGACCTGCCCCCGCTCCCCTGAAGCTGTGTCTTAACATGAACGATGCTGAAGTTATTTAGATTTATTAATCAATTTTTTTTATTTTTTATTTACTAACCACCCCTCCAGTTTTAATGAATGTATCTGTAAACTGAGATTTTTACTGCGCATCGAGACGCTGTGCTTGTGCGAGTACACAAACATCAGTCCTATGCACATGCTAACGTACTCATACTTCATCCTTTAGGTATCCAAATATTCACCATGGAATCACCTGGCCAATTGATGACATTTTCAACTGCATTCAAATTAGATTAAAAAAAAAAACCAATGATTGTTCTGCGTATAATATGTAATAATGATTGACGGCTGAACAATTCAATTCTGGTGGATTATTTCTTATTCGTCAGCAATTTATGCAACAAGTTATTTTTTCAAATGTACCAAAATACTTTTTCTAGCAATGTATTGAAGGAAATCAACCCATTATAAAATAATGATATCAGCAGCCTTAGGTAATTACATTTTTGGTTGCAATATGATGTAACTTGTGATTTGCTTAAGTAACAACTCTTCCTTTTGAAGTCGTGCATTACACTTTTATAAGCAGTCATACACAATGTCAGCATCAATTGAAAACCCTGCGTTCACCACCAGGTCTTTGTGAACAGCCAATAAATCAAAGGACTCAGTAGCAACAGAACGCTGTCCCTTGGGACGGCTGGCTGATGCAAACCACAGTGAAAGGGTGTCATCACTTGGCGTGTTTTGATGGCGTTCATGGAGGGAGGGTCACACATGCTATGTTCGGCCTTCCAGCTGCCTTCGACCGTTTTAGTTCCCCACGTCCTCTGCTGTGCTTTATGAACAGCGTTTCCCTGATCTCCCTGGCAGGCAAGAGGCTTAAAAATACCCTCCGAGGCAAAGCCTGTTGATGGCTGCCGCTGATCCTGCTAATCAAGTCTCCCCCTATTTAGGAGGATAACAAAAAGCACTCCACTTGACTTCCCTCCAACTAACAACATCACAAGCATCATTAATTTTATCTACTCACCAGACCAAGGTCTAATAAAACTATTTTCCATTTCCTCTGCAAAATTGGGCCATTTTTCATTTGTAATTGTGAACATTGACTGCTCGGTGTGTTAACACCCCGGCTCATATCGCAGGCCTCTCCAAGTGGGCTGACAATCCTTTCTTTCTGTTTGATTACACAGCCAAATAAAGTGGAATGACTGTGGAGAGATGTTATCGACTCCAGTTGAAGGATTCATCACATACCTTTTAGTGCTTTTGAATTCCGTTTGAACAATGTTACCGACTGAAACCTGAGCTGCCCAATGTGAGATTGTAACTCAATTCGAAAAGTATTCATTTAAAAAGAGCGTATTAGCCTGCCCCTCTTTTCTTGTGTGTAAGGTCTGAGGTCCTTCAGTATGTGTGAACCGCTAACCTGTTCATCAGACATAAATAAATGAACCTTGTCCCCGACAGCATAACAGATTCACCGTTACATACTTCACAATAAAAGCACCAGACATATCACATTTGCAGATGTGTCCATTGCTGAGGGTGTTACCACGTCACGAGCACACCTTTCAAAATACACCACAAGGTTGGCGTGATAAGAATTCTCATGGTGAATTTCTACACACAGACAGAAACACGTAGGCCCTTATCCTGCCTCTTCTGCCACAGTGATAATTAAGCCCTCTGATTGCACTGTATTGTGACGGAATTAATGAAGCGTCCAATGAAAATTAGCAACACTTGGCGACCCCCTGCATCAGACTGCAAGCTGCAGTGAGCACAGTGGAATAAGCAGGGTGAGCCTACAGCGCACTGAGACAGAACACGCAGTCAGTGAAGTTGTGCATCTCCCCCATCGACCGCGTTCCTGTACGCACACAAAATACCGCCATCTGCATGTACGATCTGCAGGCCAGCTCTTTGGCATTCATTATAATATTCTATTTTGGTGCTCTAGTTGGTCCGGCTTCAGTCTAAGAGGGAAATATTATCGGTCTAGGAAATCCTCGTTGTCTTGGTTTCAGTGTGAATTTTAGTGCTGCATTTTTTTTAAACCAGGAAAATTCCTTTTCAAACTTTGCTTGGTGTTAAAAAGTCAAATTTTGCATTATCTCACACAATGTGAGAATATATAATATCAATAAGGAAATGTGCAGAGAATGTCTGTTCTCTTACTATTAGTCAATGATAATAAGACAGAAACATGAATGAGGCATCAGTCTGTTATTGCTGTACAGTTAACAGATCATTTACAGCCAACTCGAGGAGCAGTCGGATTAAGTGCGTTGTCATTCTGATCTGGAACAAGTAGTCGCCAGGACGCTGCACTGATCTGTCTCTTCCCCTTTGAATCCCCCCTGAACAGCGGTGTGCCAGCCGGGCTGCAAGCACGGAGACTGCGTGGGACCCAACAAGTGCAAGTGCCACCCTGGCTTCACCGGCAAGACCTGCAATCAAGGTGAGATCTCGCTCATGACCTTTGGGTGCTAAAGTTGAGATAAACACCACCAAAAAGAAATGAGCATGCAGACCCCCCCCTTCAGATATGCATATTTTTTAATGGAAACTAAGTGAATGAGAACGGCTGCCTTGAGAAATTGGCAAGGTAACCGCTGTTTATCGTGTCCGGATCGCCGCCGCACAAGCCAAGCATATTCAAGTTGACAGTCATGCAGCAGAGGCTGGTTGGCCACCAGCCCAAAGTAGTGAGATGCTTTAACCAAAAGGGGAGGAGGTAGAGGGAGAGAGAGAGAGAGAGAGAGAGAGAGAAGTGCTGGTTCAGCTCACATGGAAATGAGTGGTGAGGCCTTATTGAATAATCCTGGAGGTGCTTTCTCTCCTGTGTAGATAACATCTCAATTACTGACCTGCGATAACTTGGCTCAGAGTGCAACCAATGCAATTGAAAGTTTAGAATTCCAGTGCAATTTCCTCATTGACGGATTGGACATGTTGAAAGGCGTTAAAGCTTCCCAGTTAGTTGATGTGCATCCAAGCAGCTTGGAAATACTTGTGGAATTCACGCCCTAAGATAGGAATAGGAGAGTGTGTAATTAAAAAACAAGGGTTGAGGAGTTGGTGGTGCTTGAGTAGAGATGGGGGAGTGGAAGGGGAGACGTGTTGAAATCCTTTCCGGAATGTTCCAAATGACTCACCCTGCATTTGGAGACTATAGGTGGCTCCTGTCTGCCCGTCCAGACGTCTGTACCTCGTCTTAATCATGCAACAAAGGGGAGAGGGGAAAAAAGCGTGCCATATCCAACTACAATGGACTTTGTTTCCACTCATTCAGACCGACTTATCTGACAAATGTGATTCCACAGCCTTTCAAGATGAAACTGTACTTTCAAGTGTCCATCGAAGCCCCCATTTATCCAATAAGCCCTAGACGTTTTGCAGAGCTCTCTATTTTACTCAGCTTTGAGTGCCAGACGTGCCCTTTCAGCCTATTCAGGGGGAGATAACCTTGGATTCTGTTTTGATCTGGCAGATGCTGCGTAAACCACTCTAATTATTGCCAAACTAGAGATTAGATTTTTCTCATTTAAACGCAGCCTTCATTAAACATTGATTTGAGGTTCACTATTGATGTCTTAGTTGGCCAATGTTTTGCGCATTCTAATTCCCCACGTCATTAATCTTGATGAGTCAACAGGACGGGTGAAATGCGTCGCCGAGGGCCGTTCCCTGACTTCGGCGCTGCTAAAGGTCGAGTGGTCACGGTGATCCACAGTTAAACATGATACAGCAATCTAAGCCAAGCTCACGTTACGCCACTTTCAAAGTCCTGTCTCCAGAAAAAGCGCTTTGTCGCGAGAACACACGTGTGAGGCGACAGAGTAAATGATGTGATACGCGCAGTCACGCTGGGTTTTGTCTTCAGCACGCAGGTCCATATCAGCCTGATTCCACACTTTTCTGTTTCTGAAGAGCTCGAATGTTGAGAGCTCACTAAATGCATTGAATTAAGTTCCGAAACTAACAGCATCATCGCAGACTTCTCTGCGGGCTGTATTTTAGTAGTTTGCTGAAGAATACAATTTGCTGTGTGTGTTTATTTAAAGAAATTAAATACATTTTAAGTTCATTAAATAAAACACAACAAAATCCATGTAATCTAAAATGTATGGAGCATAAACAAACATCAGTATTGGCACCAAACGCAATGCAAAGTAGATAAATCTTGCATTGATCTTACCGCTCTACCAAATCAAAGACATATTTTCCTCTGTCAAAATGTTATGATTTATTCTTCCAATACTACATGTCCGTTTTTAGTTTGGGCTCTTTTCACCTGCCAAATAATTTCCCCACAACGGTTATTTCACTTTCACTACGTTTCCAATACAGAACATCTTAACACCTGTATGCGTGTCATTTTAATTCATCTGATTATCTTCATCATGAACTTAACAGGTACTCAACTGTCAACAGAATAATAAGCACTGCTTTGAGGTTCCCTATCATTTTTAGAAAGAGCTTCAACTTTGTTGCTGATGAGAATTGGATCTGTCACACCGCACGGTGACGGTAGACGAAAACCGCTATACGCTGCACAAATAAACTCATTACAGGGATAATCTGTTTATCAGTGCGGCAGAACCTGCTGATCCAATCAATTTAATAAGATGATTATTCCATGCAGGTGGATTTAATTAAGTGTAGATGACCCGACGCTATAAAAAGACCTGGCACCAGAGGCGATGCAGCTCTCGCGCCTGCAGATGCTGCTTTCTTCTTTTTCACCCTTTTCTGTCAACCAACCATACAATTAATACCACTTCAAGTTTGATAGTGCTGAGCCGTGGTTGAAGAAAGTCGTTAGAATAATTCTACGATCCCGTTTCAAAACGTGCCACAGTTTGGAACCGAATGTCGCTGCTTCCAGCTTTCATCCCCAAAACTTTATATTCAACACTGCACCTCCGTGGATCCTCATTAATGCACCCGTCACCACAAGGACGCATGCCCTAGCAATTATGGAGTATACAAGTCAATCGGGTGCCAAAGCTCAAAGGAACAATTGTAAATGTCCTCAAATAAGTTAAGTCCCCATTCATTGTGAATGGATAAACCGAATATGAACAGTTGTCGAGATAATTACTAATTCATATTTCCTGCAGCTTTCTGTGTCTCGGGTGTCCGTTTTCGAGTGTGGCGAGAGATGAAATGTTATTCAATAGTAAAACAGTTAATGGTCAACGGAGAATCCAACCTGCGTGTTCATCAGATGAACGGTTGACATGTCTACACATACAGACACAGACTTCTTCCATCTTATTTGGAAGTGCCGACATCCGGACCTTTCACTCCTACATCGCGGTGAAGGCAAAGTGTTTTACTTTAGTGTCGGATGCCGCACTATTTTCCTTCCTGGCTGTCTGCTCTTAACAGCTGCGAGTAATAAGTATTGCACCCACGTTGTTATCGTGGGAATTTCCCTCCACTTATCTTATCATAATATTTGACCTTAACTGACCTCTTCGAGCAAGAAGTAGTAACTGAAATCAAATTAGTAGAACGGTATGTAACACACTGTGTGTCCCGGGCAGTGTCTCCTCATACTAAGAGTTGTCCTCTACCACTGAACCAATAAAAATACAAGGGGAATGCAAGGAGAGGGTCACGTTGCTGCAGACAGGAAGGGGATATCTGGCAGCAGCATTAGGATTTCAGCACATTCCTTGATTGTGTTGATTGATTGTTGTAATCAAATTACTAATGTCATCACCTTTGTTTTCATCATGGTGCAAAAGCTCAGTTCTATGAACAACAGCGTCCGTAAACTATATGGAACAAATCGCATCTTATTATACATACCGCATGATGTGATCTTTGGCATTTCACTAACATTTATTCAGTCCCAGGGGTGTTGGTCACATCCCATCAGATAACTGTGCAGTTTGTCACTGCGGCATATTTGTGGCTTTGTTCCATGTTTCACTAAAGATTTCTGTTTCACAATTGCATGTGATTTGTTTGAGTTTAGCCTTTGTCCAAAAATTATGGGATTATTGTATTTTATATCTTTTGATTTTACAGGTTTACTTAATAAACTGATTTGTTTGTATAGTTTTGGAGAAGATTGTAGTCTGTCTTCAAACTACATGCAAAAGTGGCCCAAATCCACATGTGACACGGCTCAGATTTACTTTGTGAGAGTAGTGTGCACACAGAAATCTGCTTTTTTCCAATCGGATCTTGGCCTGTAGTCCTAAATCCGATACATATTTTTTTTTTTAAATCTCAGAGATTTAAAGGAATATATTCCTAATTAAATTTTTGTTTACCTGCTGGCTACAACAATAAATCCAAGCTGTGGCCTTTGGACGGAGCTGCAACGGTTACACGGTACTCTCAGTGAATTATTATGTTTAGCTACTTAAACCGGGCGCCAATACTCCTCCACAGTGCCTATTTTTAGGTAAATTCTGGGGCAATTGTTTCCGTCTTGGGAAGAGTTGGCAGCAGTAGGCTTGCATTACCTTGCAGCTTAAGTTACCGCGTCCTTCAATGGAGCTTGAAGGATGGTCAGAGGTAGCTGTATTATCTCCCTGTCACTTAACAATAGGTGTTGTTACCTGACTGCCGAAGGAGAAGTTACCGGATGGATGCGTGCAGAGGGGAGGGCCTGTAATGACCTCTAAGCCCTGCCTACCTTCCAAATTACAAATTTAGAAGGGATCCGCTCAATCTGGGAGATACTGTAATTCTCTTTGCAATGTGGGTGATCCAATGTCACCCACAGGGAAGGAATGCAGGAGAGAAAAGAGGGCAGGAAGAGATTGGATTTAAAAACACTGACTGTTTCTTCCTTGTCTCCTAGAATCTTTCTGATACCGAAGACACATCCGGTTCCCGCACATGTAATCCTCTTTGCCGGTTAATGTTCCTCTTACCTTTCCAGGAATGTGGTGTGGTCGGCTGGGGTTCTAATCCATCGGTTGGTGCTTCATGTTCTAACTTCATCTGTGTGTCTCTCTCTCCTTTCCTTCTTACTCTTTCTCCACCCTTTACTACCTTAACTTCAATCAAACTCCCCCACCCCCTGTAACACATTTCCCTTTCCCTGAAGAAGAGCCGGACTATTTAACCCCACCAGTGTGGGGCAGTCGCCTTCCTATCTTCCTTCCCGTGGACCGTCTTCCAGCGAGAGTAGTAATGGAGGGTGAGATTCGTCGATCGACCTCCCCCCGGCACCTTTTCCTCTTCCTACCTACCATCTTAGCAACATGCATGGTGCTGCGCCGTGCGAACCGCGGAGGAGTAAATGTCACTCTAACTGTTTTCTCTCCGTTTCCTGTCCTACGCTGGCAGAAGAGACACCACCCAACAGCAGTTATCAGCACGAATGCCGAGCTTGTCACAGCCTTCACCGCTCTACTTGCCTGCCTCTCCTCGTTTCACCCTTCAACCTAAAATAACAGTTTCCCAGTAAAAATCAGTCGTGATTGTAATTGTTCTCTTACTGATTCTTCCCTCTCATTTTTCAGCAGCTGAAACAAAGAGCTCTTCTTCTTTCTGTTTAAAAATCACCGCAGACATGGACACGGTCCTCGTGGGTCCGCCGTTGCTGCCGGATAAAGGCCCAGAATCCTCTCCCCTGTTATCTGCTTTCACAGCCAAACGCATCCCCAAGAAAAAGGGTCTCGCTAATCTTTCTGTGTTAGTAAAAAGGAGCATGTCAAGAATGTGGCAAAGCATGCGTCAGTGGAGCTGGCAAATCACACTTCAGAGGGGCTCTCCACCTCGGACGTCGCACGTGTCTGAGCGGTCCCGGGACTGCGTCGAACTGTCACTTGGTGGTCGTGTTATCTCAGTTTTTTTCCATCACTGTGTCCTCTGGCCGTTTTGTCCCCTGTGTCCTCTATTGATCTTATCAGTTTCTTCCTACACGGAGGAGGAGGAGGCGGAGGCCCTGGCTGTGTCTTGTGTCTGGCATGTGCTGCCGCTGTCTCAGAATGTGACTATTTCAGTAATCCCTCATTTACATTTTTAAGCTGTTTTTCAGTGCAAGGAGTGAGTGGAGACCTGCGTCTCTGCCACCCTGGGAAAGGACAGTGTTGCTATGGCTTTGCTTAATCACAGTAATGAAAAAGGCATTTTTTTACTGTGGAAACCAGGCAGGGGAACGCGGTTGATGCCTCTAATTAAAAGTGTGTCTTGAGTGTGCTTGTGTTGTGGACATTATGTTGCAGGAGAAGGAGACAGCTGAAGGCCTCATCTCTGTATTCAGAGAAAAGGCTTTAAAAAACAGTGGCAGGAAAATTCTTGTCAGACCAAAACACTGTTTTGTTTTAGATCTACTGATACAGATCTTAAAATAAAACCACATCTTTAATACAAAAACAGTTATCATGCTTGTCACACATGTCCACGAATTGATGTTGTCTGCTCCATTATCTTGTATTTAATGAAAGTGGCCTTATAAATGTTTCACTGTCCTGGCCCTTGTGCATCGACTACATTCACAAACTGACCCGTATGCCTCCAGAGGAATTCATAGTCATGGAAAATAATATTAAGCCTCGTGGCAATTGGTAGGATTCAACAAGCCCAAATTCCAGCAGCGACCAGAAGATTCCATAAATAGAAGGTGGGGGCTGATGTACAAACCTGGCATCGGCTCCATCATTCATCCAAATTAATCTCTGGTGTCTGTTAAACGGAGAAGCTGTGCGGCACTCAGAGAATGCACCCTGCATGTGTCCACAGAGCTAAACGCGGAGCCATTTACAGTGCAGTTGGCCGAGATGAAAATGACCCCTCATGTGCTGTACAATGACACAAAATCTATTTGTGAGGATTCTACCGCGCGCAGAAACAGGATGACATTCATAGCACAAGTTATGCTTATTTCTTAATGCCGCTGTCATTATTCCAGTTTGTTGGATTTCCTCTTTTAGCCCCAGTACCCCACAAATACTGTTTTGGGGATTTAAGAAATAAATACGTGAGGTATTCACTTCAATCCATACCTGTTGTCTCTGTCAACATTCATAAGTATGTTAACCCAAGCCACCTCATTAGAAATAACTCGGGGAATAATCTTTGACCAAAGCCAACAGTGGCTTTAAATGATTTCAGACATAATGAAATAATTTCAGTTAACAGGATAACTCCAGGCGATTATCATCAGCATGAGAGAGGGAATCCAAAATGTACTTAAAGGATTCAATGGGTCTATTCGACTCGAATAGAACAAATACAAAATAAAGATTCTCAATTACGGTAATGAGAGTAATGAGTTTCTTTCTACCACAGCTAATGGCGACTTTATTAATGATCTATTAATTAACATTTGCATTTTATACGCTTCTTTTCAAATCAGAATCTCAAAAATCCATGACGCAAGAGAAAAGACGGCATGCGTCTATCAAACGACTTCTGTTCCTACCTGGACTACCGTGACACCCCAGTAATGACGGGTCCCAAAATGCTCACATGGGACAAGTTCACCTTCAGGGCTTTCCTGACGGAAAAGCTGTCGAGCTGTTTGCTGCAGTTTTATTAACGTCACCCATCTTTACTTGCAGTCCCCTAAAAAATTAGATTCGAACGGAATGGAGAGCAGGAAGAAGGAGCGTGAATATATATATATATATATGTATTTGATTCAGTCACCATAAACCCCTTCAGAACGGGGACGCGTTGACTCGCCGTATAGCTGACGCTGAACAGGTGTATCTAATAACATTAATGGTGTCTCTGTTCCATTTAGGAGCGCCAGTAAGTTATTCCTGCGAGGCGACGTAGACAACACCGGCGCCCTGCGGCTGCGATACATGCACGCGGTGCTGGGAGAAGGAGGGTTTAATGACTAGAGTTAGCATAAGCATTCGACAGGTGTTGAGCTCAGGGCATATTCTCTTCTCCCAGGGGCCCTCCTTAAGTCAGACGGCATCCTTTTCTAATTCATTTTCACAGGCTGCTGTGAGTGAGATTCCTCTTCTTTTATCCTCCATAAAAATACGGGAATTATATGTGGATGTTGCAGCCACAACCACATGAAGTCATGGTGAGTCAGAGGGCGTAATGGCGTCTTTTATCGCTCGCAGGTAATGGCCAGGTTGACAGTCGACACTGGCTTCCTGTTAAATCATCAAAGGGGGAGGTTGCAGGCCTGTCAGAACATGGCACTTCCTCGCAGCGACCCCCCGGCCTCTGACAAAACATACGCGTCAACACACAGACACACAAACCCAAACATAAATGGATGGGTGAGGTTTGACATTGCTGACCTCTTAACCTTTGCCCTCGCACTAATTTCACCTCTGTCTGTCTGTCTCTCTCTGTCCTCCAGTCCACTTATGTTGTCCCTCTCTGTCTGCAGACCTGAATGAGTGCGGGCTGAAGCCGAGGCCGTGTAAACACAGGTGCATGAACACATACGGGAGTTACAAGTGCTACTGCCTTAACGGCTACATGCTGATGCCCGACGGGACCTGTGGAAGTGAGTTGGCTCGTCTCACACAGACACACACGCACGATATATTGTTGTGAACATTTTCATTCCTTATATCCCTTTTTGAACAATGTTTCTTTTTCTTTGTATCTTGGATATGCTGCTGTGAAGGCTTTCTTCACACCACTAAACATTTATTATTTTTAATGCCAATGCTGATGACGCATGTCCTCCAGTACAAAATGTGCTTTCCCACTAGTGCGAGTACCTCTGACAGCAGCCTCACAATGTTTTGATAGACTGTTTTGATCAAGCTCCGTGTTGATCTGCTTCATTTTAGCAACTCCAAAGTCTAAAGAAGCCCAAGTAGAAAAGGACTAACCCTTTAGACCCTCGAGTGAACATGAATGTCTCATCGGTTGCCTTGAGGTATTGCACAGAATGGGAGTTACTGCCTGTACACGTCTCGCTGTAAATTCTGTTTCCCACCCGATAACTATTCTCCCCTCTGGAGCATGGCGTGACTCCCGGTTGTCCTTTTTTAATTAGTTATTTATTACCAGAAGGAAATACCTTTCCCCATACATGAAGTCTGAAACGTTAACTTCTAACGCTACTCCAGGTGTTGTTACGTGATGATAGCTTGATGGCGTTAAACACCTTCTTGTCTTGACTTCCACGGCTTGGATCAATAGATCACTGTAGCATTTAATCAGCCGGGCCTGCCTTAGTCATCAAACTGAACTCCAGGGAGCCTGCAGCAGCTGAAGCGGCAGCAGCTGAAGCGGCAGCATGAGCCTCACTTTTAATTTCCTTTTTTAGGGTCCGAAAGTTATTGAGCTGAAGAAAATCTGTTCCATTATATTATTATTTTTTCAGTCTTGATCTTCCCCACACATCTCCACCACGCACGCTTTGATTTGTCAGGCGTAGGACGGGATGAAAGTGGGTGAGGGAGGATCGCGTGCACACAGAGCGACCGCACAGCACAGGAAACTAATAATGGCAGAGTGTGTGTGTGTGTGTGTGTGTGCTGTTTTGTCATCGGCACCTCGGGGTGTTCGCAGCTAATATCAGACCTGGCTGTCACGCAGTGGTTTGAGGATAACGATAAAGTGTGCATGTTTAAAAGATGGAAATGAGTGTGTTCTCTCTCTCTCTCTCTCTCTCTCTGCACGTGTTAATATGTGGCGCGTTTCTGTCGTGTGAATCAGATGCTCGCACTTGTGGCCTGGCCAACTGCCAGTACGGCTGCGAGGTGCTGAAAGGAGAGGTCCGATGTCAGTGTCCGTCGCCGGGGTTACAGCTCGCTCCGGATGGAAGAACCTGTGTCGGTATGTGTTAAGTCTTTAAATATCGCCACAGCCCAGAAGACTGAGCCGTGTGTTACTTCTCCTTCCTCAGAGCTACTAATGTAAGGCATCACACACAATCATTGTGTTTAAACAGGAAAGACATAAATCATGAAAAATGATGGAGGAGGCGAAGGAAAGGCTTCCTGCAACAGGTGTTACAGCAGTTTAATGGAATGTTTGCGGATCCCTCTAGAAGACGCTGTTTTATGGAGAGTGTGTAATTCTATCAATGGAAGTAATTACTTTGATTGAATAGAGCCTCCATCACCAATTGACTTGTGGCATTAACATGAATATAATGTAAATGTATTACTTGGTATTGGATAAAAGGTCTGCAGCTAGTTGACAACATCAGATAAATGATTGAAATCAATCCTAGATTTTCCAGCCAAAAGTTTGGTCATTTTATAAAAACTGCCAATAGCAATAAAAATAACTTATTATATTAACTCATATTAACAGTTAAGTTTGCAGTTTGACAAATCCATTATAAGATGTTTGACTAAATAAGTCTGGTTGAATGGATTTAGGATTTAAGTCTTTCTTTTAAGACGGTTTACCTCCTTTTTTATGCATTAAAATTGATTAGGCCAGAAATCCTTTAAGAAGGATGTCTGATGATTTACCAGGAGGCAGTATCGAGTGTTTAGCACTGTGACAGAAAACCGTCTGATTAAAGTGATCAAAGTGTATCGATGTTTTTGCACTGTTCCAGAAGTTTACGCGACCTTATATTTGAAAGACGAATTGACGGGAAGAAAAACACAAGAGACGTGTAACAGTAAATACGTGTAAATCTGATGCTTAAAGATCTGCAGCTTTGAAAGAATAACCAAAGCTGTCTTCAAAGCCAGATGTAACAATTATAAAACAGGCATTTGTGAGCAGTACTTTCATACATTTTGAGACTGCGACTGTCTTTTTTTTGTGCATTAGTGTGTTATGTAAAGTACAATAATTCCCCAACTGCTCTTTCAGTATCTAAATAATTCAACTGTTGGCCACTAAGTGTCTTGCTGGTGAGAACCTCAGCAGCAGCAGTTGTTATGGGATCACCGTTAAGGGATAAGAAAGCTCAGCCCACTTACTTCACTTGCTTGTTTTCCCAGCTGGTCCAGGTGTCTCTGTGTAAAGGTCCTTTCACACAACAGTCCCCGTGGCTACACGGTGCCTCAGCTGCATTAGGCAGAAAATAAATGATTGACTTTTAAGTCAATGGTTCCGCCTCTCTGTGTCTAAATATTAATGTCCACATTCCTGCAAAGGTGATCAACAGATCAGTCTTTAAATAATGAAACAAGGTATTGTGTATTGTATTCTGCTCAGTGAGCAGAATACATAATGTGCTTTGTTCATAAATGAATACTAATCAGGGAAGTTGAAAGAAGTGTCCTGATGTGAATAGAGATGGCTTTTTACTGGACAATTTTCATGGCATTGTGTAATTTTCAATGCATTACATATTGTCGAAGGCCAACTCTTTAGTGGGAAATGATGAATTTGTTATATATATTTTTTTAAACCAGCATGTCTTTTTCTCTTGCAGATGTGGATGAGTGTGCAGCAGGCATAGCAGTGTGTCCTCGGTTCAGGAAATGCATAAACACTTTTGGTAGCTACATCTGCAAGTGCCATGAAGGCTTCGACCTGCAATACGTCAATGGGAAATACCAATGCACAGGTACCTTCACAAGGTCTCCACAATGCGGCTTTAATTTACCAGGGTCATACATGTACGTACATGTCTATGTATAACCAATAATGCAATTCTTTTTTAATATTATTGTTAACAATACCTGACATGTGACATAATCTTTACGCTCTCCTTGAAGTGGATGTGAAGCATTATATCCTTTGACATTTTGTTATGTGAACATTTTTTGTGCACTTGCTCCTGGTAGCTGAATGTTGTGTTTTTACCATCTTTCAGACGTGGATGAGTGTTCTCTAGGTCAGAGCCACTGCAGCAACTTTGCCTCCTGCTACAACACGCCTGGTTCATACAAGTGCAAATGCAAAGACGGCTACAGGGGGATGGGCCACAATTGCAAACGTGAGAATTGAGAAACAAAACGCCTGGCCCCTGATGCTTTTCGCAAAGAGTACCGGGCCTCACATATTCGTTTTCTTTGCCTGTGTTTTAAAAAAAAGGCCATGTTAGCAGTAATAGCAAAGCAATTACTGAAATTCCTTTCTTTGTAATGGCCGTCAGTCATCACTTAAATCCCCCGCTGCCCCTACGTGGGCCTTTGCTCCTTAGAAAACAAAGAAGTTGACCATTTGCTTTATCCAGCCCAAAAGCTCAGTTATCATCAAATGTCAAAATTCAATCTCTAGCCTAATTTTTCTTGCTCACAGTTTTTAGTGCAAGCTCAGTGAACAATCATTTATTTAATCTCCACAGTCCGTTAATCATTTAATAGACACGACCAGCGTAACCGTCCGTAGAGCAGAGGGGACGCATCCTGGCGTGGTGCGCTGCACACATTTCTCCCCCCGCTGTCGGCTCAAGGGGGTGTGAGCCACAAGTGCCGGAGGAGTCGAGTTGCAATATCCTATTTGTGTATCACATATCAAAAGTCGCCTGCAACTTGAGAAGGCAATAACTGAGCTCAGACCTCTTGCCTTTGTCCACTCCTACTCCTCCCTCATGAAACCCTTATGAAGCCCCCCCTCTGCCGCTGCCACCACACCGCACCGACCCCCCCGAGTCTCAGTCTCGGCCCGCGCTGCTGCGTGAAGAATGCGCGTGGAGGTGTTGCATCTGTGACGTCAGCAGAGCGAGGGTGATCTCTGGGGCTTTGCAGCCTGTTTGAGCGCAGAGATCATTCCACACACGCGTACGCATAAGCCTGTCGCCTACGGGGACACAAAGAACGGCTAGTCAGGAGGAGCACATGGACCAATACAAGTCACGTTCAGAGATCAATATGGATTTCATGAAGGGACAAATTCACGGGAAAGGCGGGAATGCTTTTGTGAGCGAGTTGGCATGCGGCCATGTTGCATACAAACATCCATTCTCTTTTTTTTCCTATTTAGAAGAATATGCAGAAATGTATTTACATTAATGAATGTGATCTTGCTACAGATGGGTTTTTTTTTGCCTCTCTTGTGTGAGCTGTTGCTTCAGGGAGATTTGAGACACACATTCTTTTTATTTTTTAGAATGAACTTTTAGTTAAGTGTCAGTAGACTCAGCCAGACTGATTATTGCAGTTACACTACAATTGTACAATTTAACATTTTAGTGCTGATTTGTCGGTCCTACGTCTGCTTTCTCTTATTGTTTCAGCCATTCCTAAGGTGGTTATTGAGCCTCCGAGACCAGACAAAGTGTCTCCAAATCATCACAACAGCATCCCGGACGTGGATCAGAAACGAACCACCACCACTCTCCGCACGCCAGTGACTCCCAAGAGAATCTTCACGATTTTCCCCAAATCAACAACCGCGACAACCACCGCATCGTCAACAAAAGCACCGCTGCCTCCGAAGAGGGTCACCCCGCCCCCACGCAAGACAGCAGTTCCCACCCAAAAGCCCCACGTCCCAACCAGGAAGCCTGCAGCACCTACGCAGAAGCCCCACATCCCACCGAGGCCAGCGGCGCCCACGCGGCGCCCGCCCACGCCGCCGCCACCACCACCGGTCACACCCGTAGACAACACCATCCAGAAGGAGGTTACCAAACAGAGAGGAGATGTCCACAGTAAGACTTTAAATAAGATCACTTTTACACCCTTATTTAAAAGATACTTTGAGTTCTAGATTACAAATCGTCATTTTGTATTTTTTTTCCACATAAGCCTTGTTGCAATGTGCATGATGTAAGCAAACCTTTTAAACCCGTATTCATTATTTTACATTTATTTACACAGCTTTGACATATAGTTGATGTTTAACCCGAACCTTTGTCTACTTACACATCTGGGGGATACGAAGCCTTTTTTTTGATTTGTGTTTCTGGCAACCTGACAAAAATACTCGCCGGCCTTATAACTCTGCTTTTGGTTGTTATCAGGAGGAAATATCTGGCTCAATGCTCCATTAATTTGACTGGCTTGGTGCCTGACAGTTATTTCATACTGAGAGAGCAAACCATAACAGTATAGTTGAAAGACGCTAAAACGCTTGCTGATATTTATTCATTTGTCAGATGTACACATCATTCATATATAATATTCATTAGCTTGACAGTTTTCAACAGCGTAACAAAAACACAAGAACTTTTTTTGCAGCTTTCAATCAAACAAAGGCAAAAAACTATTGTAGTATGTATGTAATAACATCCACAATTACGATGTAATAAGCAGTTCAATGATGAAATAATGCCCAGCTTGACAAGATGATTGAGTAGTTTCTATAGCTGCCGTAGTGGGAAGTAAGAACACTCTCCTCTCACAGTAATTATCTATTTTGGCTTCAGTTGAGAAAAATGTTCTGAGCCACGCTGTTCATCCACATTTCAAACAACACACCCTGTCTAGCGAGGATCCGTGACAGCAATTACATCCAAAAGGCACCATCACTCTTTTTCTAGCTTGATGTCCTTAATGAAAACTAAATTACAGAATTTAATTATAAAAATGCTGTAGTAATGCCAGCTGATTGAGATTTCTCTTTGAAGCTGCAATTATCTGCCGCTTTCTTCTCCCGGAGCGGCGCGGTGGTTGTGGTGATTATCACCGTCGCCTCACATCAAGAAGGTCCCGGGTTCAAGCCCGTCCAGCACCTTTCTGGTTGCACTGCAGAGACGTCAATTAATCTAACTGGGGTTAGATTAGATTAATTGACGTCGCTAAAATTGCCCCTGAGAGTGAATGGTTGTCGGTCTCTGGTGAAGAGTCCGGGGGGCGACCCCCCTCTCGCCTGTGATTGGCTCCAGGAGAAAAAAAACCCTAAGAAAACTAAGGATTTGAGGTATAGAAGATGATGCACTGACATAAATGTTTCAAATTCATGCATCAATAAATAATGGGAGTGCTTTTTTGAAACAAGATGATATCCTTACCTTGTGACTTGTGAAAAGGGAAATAGTTCAGGAGCAAAGCTTACAACACAGCTTACTTTTCTTTCCTTTCTTTTTTTAATCTGGTAGGTAAGGTGATTTTCAGATTTTGTATAACAATATTTAAGAGATGAGACTGGCAAAATTTTATATTCTTCAACAGATCTCATGAAAAGACAGACAGAGCACCGAACGCATATTCATCCACAGTGTACATGTACATCCTTAAAAATTTAAATGGCTTTAACTTCAAAGCGACCACAGCCAGTCAGTCAGACAGTAGAGATGTTGGGGAGTATTAATTTTGTATTAAGACTACACTTTTCTTCTTTTGGGATTCATTGGGACAAAATAACACGTGTAGTTTCAGTAAATGTGCATATTATTACGGTTTAATGTAACAAAAGTGATACTTTATTGTTTTGCACAGTATAATTTGCACTAAAAATAGCAATTGAACATGGATGAAAGTGTGTTTGTGGCATGCCTGTCACTGTAGGCACAGTGAAAGCCACTGTTCACCGAACAGTGAGATTTAACAGCAAAGTACAGGATAATAGGTGAGATACTGTGGTTCCTGTTCACCTGGCCAGATGGCTTCTAATAATTTGAAAAGGGAAAGTGGAAAGAAGATTACATTAACACCTGTCTGCACTGCCTAAAGGAGACATCAATCTCATACTTTGCATCACGGCAGAGAAGTTCTAGAAATCAACAGTTTCCTGAAGATGATTTGAATAATATCAGAGAGGGAGGGAGCAGAGACACTGCTGAACAATTATTCAGGTAATTAAATGGAAATAGGAATAATTTGAATCAGATCCTCATGGCAGAATGAGAATGCCTCAGCTGTGCCACAGGCGCAGGTGTGCTCTCGTGTGTCTAGTGAAAACCTTCAACCTTTTTAACAAACAATTCTCTATTTGGGGGAAATATACTGCTCAAATTAGATGTGAAGATCTATCCTGAGATTAGATAAATCAATCAATCTCCTCCTCAATCTCCCAAACTGTAAATGTTTCAACATAGTTGTTAAACAAATACCTCATTTACTAGGGTCACTTTACCAGAGCCCGGTGTGAGTGTGACCTCCCCACTGTCAGATTCCTGTCCGGCTACATTGCAGTCTGCCAGGTGTTTGGGGTCTTGGGGGGGGGGGCACATGGGCACTGGGGCAACATTTCCAGTGCGGCTACAGTGGCAAGAATCTGTCTGGGATCTGACTGATATAAAGATGACGCTTCTCTCTCTTTTACATTTTTTTTGGACACTTGGCAACGTCCGTTTAAAAAGGGTTAGTTTTCATTTGGGTTAAAAGAGCTAAACCACCTTTTGCCTACAAAAGGCTTGTTGCTGAAGTACGAGAAACCACTTTCCATCTCACCCCTGTCCGTCAAAGTATTTTTGGCAGTGTGACCCCCCCCCAGTAGAGTAGAGAAGTGGAGGGAGGCTATTTTCGGGCTGACTGAGTACTGTATTTACTGTGGCGCTGTGCTGTGTAGCAGCAACATATTGCCTGGACGCAGCATCACGAACCTTTCAGCCAGCCGACCAATCAGCCCCTCTGTTGTTATGATTCACATTCGACTCGCATTCTGATCATGCGCTGTGTTATTGAATGTGCACGGATGTGGATTTGCAGCCACTAAACCATGTCATTGATTCATCCTTCCAGAGTCCTTGTCGAGTAATGAAACAAAGCCACACAATAACCGCGAGCAGCGATACCAGTGAGCAAAAAACATCACCTCCGTCGACCCTTTTATCTGAACCTGCGTCTCTCCCCAGTCCCTCGGAACCACGGCAACAACGCCGTCCTCGGGGTGGACTTTGACATCGAGCTCGGGAACACGGCAGACGAAGCCAAGGACGACCCAGGTGAGCGCCAGACACTTGACAGACGTTTGACAGAGACAATCGGCAGCACCCCTCAAATGATGACGAACGAGCCCCATTTGCTTCGGGCGACAATCAAACCCTGTAGCGGTTGCTTCCGAGGCCAAGACGCTCTAGTGAGGCCAGATGTGTTTTGATGGGCCTTTCACCCGCAGGTGAGACGTGCCATCTGGTCAATATCCATTGAAATAATGGCTCTCAGCTCAAAACCGCCAGACTTTTCGCATTTTGCTTGCTTGATTGCCTGCCTGAATGATTAATTGAGCATTTTGAAGTACGTCAGGGCTCCGCTCGTAAGTTCCACAGCACTCGGTGTACACACACAGCGTTTTCAGACTCATATTTGTTTGATGTGATCTATTAATGTTAATGGTATGCAGATTATATTCCTTAATGGTTTAGTTATGTCTCTATTTTGACGCGCGGTGCATCCTTTTTTCTGAAAGCCCGTTTTTATTGGCTCAGGAAATGAACGGAGAAGTGTTTTTTGGAAACGCTCCTTTATATTAAATTATGGGTGTTATTGTTATCTTCAAACCAATTTCTAGTGCAATGCTTGGATGATGCCGCAACTGCATTCCTGTATTTCTATTATCTAGACACATCTAGTCACAGGGAAAGAAAACAGTCATGATATACTATGCCTGCCTTTTGTAACGTTAGTGTATTTTAATATAATATAATATTACAAATAGTTTGAGAGGAATGCATTTTCAATTGAGATTTTACCAACTCCCTTTTTGTGTCCCCAACATGTCCAATATCTTTTACTTTATCGTATCATCAGCCAATCATCCACGGTTCTCTTGCTGCTTGTAATGCTGCCGTCACACAGCAGTGCTCACGTGAGGCAGTGCAGAGGGCCGAATGAAGCCTCTCTGCATGCGCGTGCGTCCTACAAGTCTGTGAGAACGTGTGTTTTATTCTCTTCAGATTCGGGGTATCTGAGCTGCTCCTTCGATGATGGTCTTTGCGGTTGGATCAGGGACAGAGATGGAGACCTGCATTGGGAGACGACGCCTGACCCGTCAGGTAATTGAAGGGCCCGTTCTGACTCACTCCTATGAGGAGATTTGTTTATTCCAGTAATTAAATAGAAATGAGAATACCAACGGATACCATGCAAACGCACACACAGTCAGGCAATGTAAGCAGCTCAGTTTTGTTCTGCTCAATTACAGGTCAAGACGAGAGTGACTCGCGGGAAGTTGTTTATCTTTTGTGCGGATTAGTGCTTTGCTCTCCGAAGCGATGCAAATAAACGAGAAACAGATTACGCGTCCCGTCAGTGATACCTGTGGCTCACATGAAATGGGAACACGACACTGTTTTTCTTGTGTTCCAGAGGAGAGGAGAAAACGTGATGGATTATGTTGAGAGGACTCATTAGACACGCTGTGAAGACTTAAACAGTGACGCGTGCTGGCACTGTTTTAAGCAACACTAACTACAACTGTCTTCTTCTGCCAACTGGCTTAAACTTGCATTTACTGGTGTGTTTCCAGACACATAGGGAGAAAATAAAGATAACTACCCAGACCTCCACGTTCGCTAGAAAATCACAATCTGGGGCCTGACATGAAACAATACCTTTTTCAGTAGCATGTAGTAAATATACTATGAATAGTATTTTATTCAAGGAAATCTTTTACTACATTGCGCTCTGACGCAGGTTATGTTGATAGACAGCGAAGGCCATTGGAGGGGCTCATAACATATGCAGAAAGCCTATCACCCCCCCTGTGGTTAACACCAGCCCTACACATATCTGCTAGATAGGCAAAATGCAAAAAGCATTAATCGTCTATCAGCCAGAGGCGCTTTGAAACTTTTTAAACTATATAGCTCTTTTATTACTAACTAATACATGAATTAATAAAAAGAATCCTACCAGCCACCGGCAAACGGTTGTACTTTAAAGGTGATGAAAGTGGGTCAAGTCTTTTTAAAATATCCATTTCTTTTTTTCAAACCGAAATACGACGAGTCTACTGGATGTAGTTCATGGCTCGATTAAAAGAAACTGACTTGCATTCACAAGTTTTGGTATGCAGTTGGAAAAACTCAACAGCAACTTGTTTTTCCAGACACAACGTGCCACTGAATTTTGCTGAAAAAATTAAATACAAAAAAAAAAAATGCCCAGGCGGAACATTCCTCTGTGCTTCGTTTTCTGACGTAGGCTTCCATGTAGCCCCATGTTGACTGTGCGTTCTTTCTCTGTAATACAATTCACTTCCCAAGGGGGAAGGTACCTCACCATTCCCGAGACGGGCAACAAAAGGACCGGGCGAGGGGCACGGCTGGTGCTCCCCCTCAACCCGCCCTGGAACGATGGAAATCTGTGCCTGTCGTTCCGGCACAAGATGGCGGGCCACCACGTGGGAATGCTGCAGGTGTTTGTGAAGAAGGGAAAGCAGTACAGTCCCGCCGTCTGGGGCCGCACAGGTGGAAATGGCTGGAGGCACACCCAAATCACACTATGGGGCACCGGCCTGGAGAGTGTAAGTGAACAGTAATTGTTTAACAATTCACTCATACAATTTTCATTTTAAATGATTATTTCTCCAAACATTTTGGAAGTTCATCAAATGTGTGTGTTCCTGTTGATGAATAATACATCGAAGCAGCAGTCTGCATTTAGAGAGTGAATCTGCAAAATGTTAGATTGACATCCGCTTTGGGTAGAAATGCACGTCGGCAGCGTTTGGGGTTCGTTCCTTACTCGTAATGACTCTGTGTGCGGTTCACCAGGTGATCCTCAAGGGGGAACGTGGGCGAGGCAGGATCGGGGAGATGGCTGTGGACGACATAACCCTGAGGAAAGGCTCCTGCACAGAAGAGCACAATCTCAGAAGACTCTGACAGAACAGAGAAAGGCCGAAAGAAAACCAGAGGGGAACTCATCTTTAAGAGAACTGACTCTATTGTGACCTCCCCTCAATCTGTCTGGCCTCTCGCTGACCCCCCCCCCCCCCCGCACCCTCACCCCTCCCACACACCCGCCGTCACCCCTTTCAGCCATTCTGTGAATGATATCCAACAGGTTGTGTGTCTACAGAACAGCGAGTTATAAAAAACAACGTTATATGTCTACCTTTTCATCTAAAAAAACCCACCTAACTCCATAACCTTGTTACCATAAAACCTGCATGATCCAACTTTCCATGGAATTGTCCTCCACCTAACCCCCCCCGGCCCTGGCAGCCCCCCCCAGCCACGTCGCTGAGGGGCCCACGGCCACTCCCGACTCCCCCTGGTGAGAGGATCGTTCTCTCACTCTCTGCCTCGCTTTGATCCTCCAGCCACAAGCTTTGGCTTTTGATTTGCTGGTATACATTTCTTTGAGATTAGGAGGATTTTTCAAAGCGTGGAAAAGACCAATTGTTAATGGCAGCCTTTATTTCTAGACCCAAAGTAAAACCTCCACCAGAGAGTCCATAGAGCCCTGCCCTGTTTGTCTTGCAGCTGTTTTACAGCACAGCTTTGAAATGAAAGAAGTTATTTGTCACAGTATTTAAAAGATCTGAGGGGTTTCAAATATAGCACCTTTTCTACCGCGATCTTCTGTTTAAGCCTCCTAAAGTTATTTGAGCTCTCTATGGCCTTTGTTTCAAACAGAATCTGTGTGTGATTTCTGACACTCGCAAATCAACACTTAGTTTCTATTCAACAGTATGTGCTTTGTTATATTAAGTGCAGTTTGTTATAAAATGAATACCAATCCATTTTTAGGCTTTCAAAAAATGTATTATTGTAAATGTAGTTGTGTGTACATACTCTGATTTGTTGTGTGGTTTATACGTTATGTGAATTCATACAGTGATATTAATTGGATTTCAAATTGGTATATCAACTTTTACTGAAAGAATACGCATCCAGATTGAAACCTTAAATTGTGCGAGGCTGTGTATCTCAATCTCAATGTGTTATGGTGAAATGCTCTGTCTGGAATTCTAAGGTTTTCTGTATGCGTGGGTGCATCCACCAAATTTAGATGTATCCATACCAGTATGTAAATAAAATAATTTGACTGATATTATGAATCTAAGGGCAATTATTTTCCTGAAGGTGTGCTTTTGACTGTGGAGCTTTGCATATTGTGCGTACTGTCTCGTATGAGCACACGGTGGGAGCACAGATACCAACAGCGTTTGTATAACAGGTGGCATTTTTCCAACTTCCGAGAGGGAAAAAGAGTAAGAGGAGAATAATTTGGTCTCATGGTAAAAATACTATTTCCATAATGTTAAAAACAACCATAGCAAATACATTGGTCATGTTCTCTAATACTTTCACGCTTTGTATTTTGGTGATGATCAAGCGACTTGTGTAGTTTAAAGCTGAAAAGAATGCCGCAGATTTTCAAACTATCTCTCTTATGATAAAGTATCAAATCCCAATCTGTCTCTATCTTAAGTGAATGGAATGACTTTAGCTTAATTTACACAAAATCTAATTAACACTGCGTCCCAACATCTGTCTCCAATCAATGGCTCTGCTCTATAAAGTCCACTTTGCTTCATCTGGCACTATTTGGAACTAGAATAATATATTACTTCTAAGATTCATTTGGTAAAAATGGTATTTATAGTTATTGGTGGTTTATTTTTGGTTTTCTATGGTGGATGTCCGCGGCACATTATGAAGGACTCAGTGGAGGGTTTGTGAGAGTTACCTTCAATACCATCTGACACTGGGAACTTCCCCGTGTGCGGCTTTGGAGTGGCATTTGCGGGATTTGGGGTGATTAAACCAGTTGAGTCCTCTCTTTTGATTGTTAAACATCAAACTCAAACCAAAAACGTCTCTCAAATGCCATGGACATATAATGGAAAAGTCATGGTTTAATCAGAATGCAATATGAAAGTCAAAGAATAGTACGACATAAAATACCTTGGTTCAGTGTGCCATTAACGTCATTGGTGTGATATATATCTAAATCATAGTATAGTATGTACTGTATATAAGAATATCATATAAAGTCAAAAAACGAGTTTTATAAAATAATTCCAATCATAGTTTGCAGTTAAAATGTCATGAGATATATCATAATATAGTGGGCCTTAAATAGTTATGAAAGTCAGTTTGCATGTTTTGAAAATTCATACACAAGTACATCATGCATTTCATATTTTATAAAACATAAAAACCGTAAGAATTAATAAAATGCCTTAAAAACATCAGATTATAGTATATTCTTAGTCTTTAGTCCAATTCTAACATCACACCACACAATCATGCCAAATACTACACACAAGAACACAATTCTTGAAATTAATAAAACAATTATCTCTCGCTCCTTCACCCTCTGTCAGAAACACACACACACGCACACATCGAGAGCAAACACAGGAAATGAATCAAACTCTGCACTTTTGATATTAGATTTGTATCAAAAGTCTTATCACTGACCTGTGACGAAAGACCTTAAGACATCTCAATGTTCCATCCAGCCATCGTATCCGGGACCAAAAGGGCAAGCAAACAGGCCCCTTATCAATACAAACGACCACAGCAAAAAGCAATCCAAAGGCCAGAACCAATAGATAACACAATTGTGTGTATTTGCTAGTACCTCTGTGTTTGCAATTGTGTGTGTTTTGCTTTGTGAGGTTTCACGTGTATCTCTTGAAGCGTGACAAAGAAAATCCTCGCTTTTCTTTTCTTACAAGCACTGAACCCATAAACAGACAAAGTGGCAGAGCACACAATAAGAGACGGGAAACATTAGAGATCTTTTTGCTCCATGAAGAATAGAGAATAAGGCCTCTGGCCGAATGAAGGTAATAGACCTTCCCAGACTGTGTTCTGCTGTCAGGAAATCTGTCAGTGTTACCGGGACATTGGTGAAGGCAATGTGAGGGAAGGTTAAATATGAGGGAACAGTACTGACGTCCTCCATCACGCACAAGAAAACAAATGGGAAGAGGTGGCTTGAAAAGAACAAACATGTGTTTATTTTCTGCACGGGATATTCATTGAGGAACCAAGAAAACGCAAGATGTGTCTTACGATTTAATACAGCACTTGTTGTCGTTAAATTGATCAGCATACAACAATCCCATGCATGCTTCTTTCCACATGAGGACAGAGCCTCCACTTCACTTTCCCATTTTTGTCAATTTCAAGATGAATTTGGCCGACATCTGAGGAGGTCACACCTCCTGATATTCAAATGGCCACACTATTTTCTCCCACCGGTGGATAGAGGTGTGTGTGTGTGTGTGTGTGTGTGGGGCGGACCTTAAGATTCTGGTTTCTGGCTTTGATCACAGCGCTTAACCCTTGAAGCTCTCCTTGACATGGTCTTACTAAAATGGTCCTGTGGCCAAGAGGGATCTGATGACATCATGATTTAGAAAATAAGTGGTTAGAATGTTTTAAGTCTGACCTGCGTCACTATTCAATATAATACGGTTTTAGTTAGCAGGACATGAAGAGCATATTCTTTAAACAACTTGAACATACACACGATTTGGGCCCTTCCAAAGTCGGCGGACTGCTTGCCGAGTGGCCACAAGGTGGACATCCGCTGAACCGCTGTGTTGACGTCAGGGAATGTTTGCAGCATTGTGGCGCCGCTTGTTGTGCTCTCCGTGGTTACTGGAGGTTGTTGTGTGGAGATGTGTGTTGGGCATCCAGCTGCCGTTGGAAAAAGAGACAGTCATGGTCCCATGAGGATGACTCCTAATGACTTCGGTGATCCACTGATGTTTTTCTGTAGCCCCACCATGACAATAAAGGTCTCGCTTTTCAGCGGGATCGTCACTAGTTCGCTTTGACTTTTCATCTATTCCATCGTGTGACAATATACCTTCAAAACGAAAGACATTCCTACCAGCCACAGCTGTTTTTTTAATATATTATATTATATTATATTGAGTTACTCTGAAAGATAAAGATCCGTTGAGGCTAACGAGCCAGGTGCGTTCGCTCGGCCCATCTGTGCCCACCAGCTTGATTGTTAAAAGTGGAGTTTAGTCGCGGATACGGTCATTTTCACACGGGCAAGCAGAGAAATCCTGGTGGAGAGAAACATAATTACCTTTCTAAACATTTGTGCAACCGTTACCAGATGAACTTAGTGCATAGAAACTTGTACACACTGATATCACTATGAAAATAGCATTGGCAAAATATAGAAGAAGTAACCTTAAATGTATTTCCTCACCAATCTATTGCAGTCGAACTGTTGGAATAATTTCATGCATGCGTCTCTCTTTCCCCTTTGAGACTCCTTGGATGAACTCTTGATAGAAGTCTTGAAGTAATTAACACCGATTTCTCTTTTTAAACACTGTTTTGTTGGAGTTTCCAGTTTTTTAATTTCAGGTAAAACGAATCTTTGGGATGTTTAAACACTTCATTATTTCACAATACCACAGAAAGATGATGCAATAATGATGTCTTGAGTCTGCATCGCCCATGATCCAAAACCAAACCACCTTTGACATGTGAGACTATGAAAATCAATTAAAACAGTACAAACTGAGTGTTCACCTAAAGTTTATTTAGATTAATCATCAGATAGTTGTATTAGAAAAAAACTGTAACATGATAGAAAATCAATTTCTATGGCATCTCAAATACATAGTAGACACAATTCACAGGTCAATTTAAACCACCAAATTCACAAATTACTTATCCTTTCTAAAACAAACATTCAGTCAGTTGCCCCTTAATTTTATACACTTGTTTAACACAAATCATTACAACAGCTCTGCAAGACTTATAATGTTCAGTTTTGGCGAACTTAGCCAAAATGAGCTCATTCATTTACATGTCTATTACTGAGGTCATGGTACATGATGGAGACGTGTACTCAGGTTACAACAGCACACAGTTCCCTATATCGACTGGCTCAGAACGAGATATTCATAGGCAGCTACATTTATCAGTGCAAAGCGACTATGACACATAGAGGTCGTTTCAGAAGAAGTAGTTGATTCAGAAGGCAGAAAATAAAATAAAAAATCTAATTTTGTTAATATATTTTCATTTTGCACCGATTTAATTCATATGTGTATCACAAAAAAAGTCTTTATCTCTTTCTTTGCTTCAATATCAAGTCGGAATGCAACGCCCCTTTTGTCAGTGTGCGGAGATACGTGCTCAGATCTGAGGGGACGGGACGGTCAGGAGTCCAGTGGGCTTCAGCTTGTTGATTCCACCGTCCAGGATAGAGACCCGTTGGAAATTTACCTTGACCAGGTGTGCTGCAAACTGGGAGGACAGGAAAAAAAAGGAACAAGCAGTTATAGTTTCCTTCCAGCCAACATCCAAAATGCGTGGCACTTCCCTGAACAGTCCCTGACTTCAGTTATTTGGGTTTTTGGATTAGAGCTCTGCTCAGGTTGAGGGTGGCTGAAGTAATGCTGCAAAATACGCAAGGTCACAGCACCCTCACAAACTACTTAAGAGGGCTATTTTTTTCCCCCAGCTCTTTGAGGTGCAACGAAGCAAAGAGGGGAGTCACGGTAACATCAGTCAAATACAGTCTACACATGCACACGCAGTCCAGAGTCTAAACTAAAGTGAAAGAAAGAAGATTAATAAAATATGCACGTGCCTATAATTAAGCAGTTTTCTTTTCAAAAGCAGGAAAAACACATTTCGTTAGTTGTACCCCAGGCTCACCTTCCAACTCGCTATTTTGTTTTGCTATTTTGCTTCACTGTTGCCATGCCTTTGATCTACCGATGTGCATGGCAATCTCTGCGCGACTATGTTTTTTGCCCTGAGCCAAAGCTCACAAACACATTAGAAGTCATGCTGTCTAAATATCTAAAATAAATTGAAAAACAAAGAGCAGAGTGAGACCAAGCAACAACTTATCTGCAAAAGAATCCTTCTGAAATACCGTAAGGATTGACCTGATAAATATATTTCATGCATATAAAGTGTCTATCAAAGAGAAACAAAACAAAATACAACATATTCTGTTTTCCTAGGTTATTGCGCACACATCCAAGAGCTTGATGAGGACGGTTAAAGAGATTCAATCAACTGAATCAAATAAAAACAGATGATGGGGAA